GGCAACCACCACGATGTCTGAGCTTTTAGCTCGCCGCATCAGAGCATTCAGGGCGTCGTAAAACCTGTCTTCGACGGCGTTAGAGCTACAGTCAGTTGGGGCATAGGCAGACACGATAAACAGACATCTATCAACTTACTGCTTGTGAGACTCCTTCACAGACGTTGCCAGACGAACCGCACAGAGGCGACTATCAACAGGTATCCAGTCAAGTAAGGATACTTCCGCCCGGTGACTTAGCACAATACCAACCCCTGCACATCCCACTGCAGCAGCCTCTTTATCACCAGAGGTGCGTAGCCGGAAGCGAGTGGAGACCGACGGGGCGGTTAGTTCAACCCCTGTGCTTGCATCTTGAATTCTCGTTTCTGAGACACAGCACACATCAATGCCAAGCGAGTCCAGTGTGAGTGCAAGAGCAGCTTGTTGTCCTGCTTGCTTCAGAGTGCGAACATTGAAAGCGGCCAGATAGAGTGGGTGTCGAGGCTTGAGGACTGCTCTGGAGATTCCTGAAGATGTCGGCACCGTGTGACGAGCAGACGCTGCACGCAAAACCGATTCATGACGAACGGAGTCATCAGTCCTAGGTGCTGGGCCTACAAGGAGAGAGTTATTAATGGGGTGGGGAGAGGGGGAAGAAAAAGTATGTGAAGGAGAGAGAAGGGAGGCGTCAGCAGTAGCCTGTTTTCGCTTACCCGCCCTGCTGTATGCAGCAAGTAAGGCGACCCGGCTGATGGCACCACGCGACGGCCGATGTAGCATGAGTTTATTTGTGTATGTGCTATTCATGGTTGTACTCCTCTTTTGCCCTGCTCTTTTTGCTCTTTTTTGCTGCCCTTTGCCCTTGTCCTTCGAAGGTCGACCCAACACGGAGAGACCCGTGAAAATTAAATTGGGTTCCGTCATGTAAGGGGACATTTCTTTCACGTTATCACCATCCAGCAGATTTTGCAACAGCGACACCGCTTCCATCAAGGACGATCGATGGCCTTAGCTTGAAAGCTGACTTTGGCTCTGTGGACCGTCAGGAACTACGGCAGTGTCAATGGAACAAAGGTGTCTCCCATAATTTCCTGACCCACCTTAAGGTACTGTACACCAATTCCCATGAAGGTCTACAGGATGTTCAGTGTCAAGTGGTATCAGGCGAGGCTGCACTCTTTCATCTTTCCTCTTCAGCTTTTCCATTGATATGATTATGGAACACTTAGCCACAGTCTCTCGTGCCTGTAGGGTCGAAATGCCCTCATGGCATTCACTTACAGATATCGAGTACTCAGATGACAGCTCTTCTTGGATTTGACGCCATCGCAGTGCGGACAGTATTAAATGACCTAAATAATCCTACCTCGCGGTTTGGAATGTGGTTCACACCTGTAAGATATAGAGTTACTCTGGAAAACTGGGCGGGCTCGATTCCTAACTTCATGCCTGTGGATGAGTTGGTTGAGTTTTAGTAGACCCGACTTAGAGCTGCCACTCTGTCGTGGTCTTCGGGCTTCTGTGCTGCAACGATCTTGCGGAATATACTGGCTGGTTCCTTGAGGCTCAACCATGCCAACAGGGAGCACCCTGACGAAGAGCAGTAAATCCCCGAGAAGTCCTTCTTGAGAAGTCGCATCACGAGGCGGTCTATGATGGGAGTGTGAAGGCTGTAAGATGTTTCCTTCAGGTGAACAGCATCTCCATATTAATAAAATCAGTAATGTTGCCTTCTCCTGAGGAATGACGGATTAAAAAAGATCGACCCTAAAAACCGAATACTCCGATCACCCAACGGCTGGCCGTGAACGCCGGTCCTTTATTCAATACGGTCGAAATACTTCTAAAACCAGGAAGAATGGTTCTGCTCAAAAAGTACATGGGTGCAGCCGCATCAGGAGTTAGACAATAGTGATTTACGCCCTGCGTTCTCGGGCCAGACTGAACCCCCACATTCAAGCGGGGGATAACCTTACACATTCCGAGGTGCCCATATCTCCAATGCAAACCATTTTAAATAACCTAAATAATTCTGCCGCGCGGTTTGGCATGCGCCTCATACCTGCTGCCATAAGACTGCTATAAGACCCAAACCTCCCGGTTGTAGACGAGCTAATTGAGCGGTAGATAAGTTGGTCCACCTGGAGATGAGAAGACCAGAAGACTAGGAAAGCTTGCGTCTATGGCTTGGGAACCCGGCTGTATCCCATCCATCGTGCTCCCTTCTAATGGCATTGCATTTAGGCACCGAAAGGGTGCTACAGCTGAAGGATAGTGCGTACGTGGCGTCAGTTCATTCGTCAAGGACAGAATCTACACTGCGGCAGTGCAAACCATATTGTTTCACGGATTAGAAGCGTGACTTCTTGCAGTAAGGGTATTTTCTTAGCTTAGTTCCCGGTCTGAACCTTCCAAGCTAGCGTTTCCGTCAAAATAACCACCCGAAGTGCACACCGTGTGTTAACGCACAAGGCCTTGTCAAAAATACATGCACGGCGCCTCGTATATAAAGTGTGTGACTACATCCTGGAACTTGACGCCCTCTGAACATGCCAATGGCCACCGGTACTTGGTATATATATATATATATATATGTATATAATACCTGCATTAGGTGGATACTGGACCATAGTTTGCTGTTGGGTTCAGACTTGCGGCCAATCAGACCTTGCTTTGATGCTGGACCAGCAAACAACGTGATCTTCTGGCTAATCGCGTGAGAGATGGACTTCTTGGCCGTAATAGCACCTAACTGCGACCACTGGAGCGGTATGGGCGTGGAATTATGCTTAGCACTTCTACGTGCACAGACTACACGAAAGCTGTCGGTGTTTAACCATCGGTGTTTCCGAAGCAGTGGTTAGGTCTTACGTGGACATCGGATTAGCAATGTTGAGGTACACTAGATGGTCTTAGGAAGAAGGATCTCTCCCACGATAGATAAGTTACTCACGCTTCATGGAATTTACGCTTATTAGGACATTTTCTCTGCATGCCAGAGGACGGTGTGCATTGCAGAGCTTTCTGCCTAGCCCTGTGCTGAATGAAGGCAGCCGACAGAAGGACAGTGTGACCTAGCAACGAAGTATAAATACCCTGACCAGTAAACTAATCCGAGTAGACAGCCACCGTTTTTCTGAATAAGGACTTCGGGACTCAAACCACAAATAGTTAATGACACTGGCAGGACCGACCCAATCGCGCAGTCAGTGGTGCTCGTGCATCAAAGCATTCAATGCGTGATTGAACAGTTCTCGAACAAACCGAACATGCGCCATCAATGCTTAGTTGTATCTCCCACTTTCCGGTGATGGAAGCCGTAGCTGGAACCACTGTCCCCATGGATAGATGTATGAACTCGCTTCTCGAGCGATTTAACGTGGTATGCGGTGTCCGACCCGCAATAACTTACGTCCCAGTTTTTGAAATCTTCCAGAATGCACACCGCAAGTAATTTTCCACCGATTTTATTTTGCTCCAATATCTTCCTCAGGGTTTTTGAAATTGCCCAGCATAAGTCGGAGGCTGCTCTAAGGTGCAAATCTGATCATATGGGACAGTCGATCGTATAGTTTATCCTTTGCTCGTCTGAATGCGACTGTGTCGTCGTTAGCTGAGATCTAGTGGCCACGTCCCTATAATTGTTGCATTCTGGTGCATCCACTGTTAGTCTTGTGTGGTCTGCAACCGCCATTCCAGTTCTTTCATGTCGGCTATCTAGGGGTGACCCACTTCAGTAGAAATCGTAGCTATGGCTAAGGTCTTGTAGTTCCCTTTGGTCAGCAAACCGGGTTCCATTGAAGATGATGTTTCTCCCGTAGTGTTTGTGTCCCTCAACAGCAGCAGTTCTCTCTATAGGTCTACCCGCGGTCACTTTCCAGGGGTGTCTGAACCTTCCAGCTCCTAGTTCTCAAAAGTTGATTTTTGATAGTCCGCGTTACTTGAGGCAAGCGGCGCTTTTTAACTGCCTCGGTTGGAAGTGATAGGTTACTTCGTACACTTCATCGTGAGTCTTTGATCTCAAAATCTTTCCAAAGAGGTTTTGACGGGTTGATTTACCTCCATGGTGTGGACAGTATTCCATGGACTCTTGACTCCAAATGCGACTGCATTTATTTGTCATCTTGGGGCGTCTAATTTTTTCAGGAGTTTCAACCGTACTAGACAGTGTACCAGTGGTCAGAATCAGCCTTTGGGCGATTAAAGTGTGCGGTTTTTAGTTCCGACGTTTTTTGACCCGTATTTTCTCATGCAACTGGAGCCGCTCTGCTTCCCTAAATATGGATGTATTAGCGAACAATACAACAAGACAGCCTACGCTGCCAACCGATGTCAGTGGCGTTCTTGTTGTTAGTTTCTATCCATATTGCCTGAGTGAATGTCTGGAGGTGTAGGCACCTTGGAATGATTGTGTTAAGCTAGCATTTAGTCCCTCCCCCGTCCACCTTTACTCTTTTCTTTCCAATAAGGCTTTCAAATAAGTCATGGTTGTACGGCAGTGAAGCATTGGTGTTGAACACTGATGTCATGCTGTCGTCGATGATGATGATGATGATGACGCCGTTCGTAATGCGGTGGCTCAGTGCGTTGTTTCGGGCTATTCCTCACCAGACCTTCGGGTGAATTCGGTCTATGGAGTTCCGGCCAGTGTAGCCCGCAGTCTCATTACAGCCCTGAAGTACCGTGACCACAACCCATACACCTGTAATGTGGACCAGAAATTCTCCGGCAGGTAGACCTTCATTTTCTGAGCTAGCTTTGCGCTGCGTTGCTAAAATTGGGATCGTTATTCCAGTACTTGTCATCGTTTTAAGCGTCTCTACAAAGAATGATTTGGGTCAGGGGTACGGACAGAGGGTTGCTGGTACCCACATCAGGTCAGACTTAGGTGTTGCAAACTCCAAAATTCTCAAATTGTTGTTCCTCCGGTTTCCCTGTTAACTTATTGTAACCAGTATATATACACCTGCTAAATCTGTTTGATTTCTCGCAGGTATTCAGAAAATTCGACAAGACTAATGGCGAAACGCAGAGCTGATGTTGAACTTAATCAAGACAATTGGGACACTGAACTAGAGGCGAAGGAGACTGGCACTTTTCAAAGAGCGGAACCCAGTTCTCTTACATCCCGAAAGATTTTGTCTGTGAAATCAAGGCGATCTGTAGTAAGTTGCTATGTCCTCTTATTCACTGCATAATAGAACCAAGGCACATCCGGCCTTTTCAAGTCTTTCACAGGTTTATCGGAATCGACCCAACCGCCGGATGTTCGTTTCAACTTTGGCGCGAAGTTGGGGACGGTTGTGAGTTCTTCGGTGTCTAATGAACCCACTGGTGCATCAGCTGCTTTGTCAGAAAACCTGAAAAATGAGACAGAATACTTGAAACAATTGCAAACCCTCAACCAGAACCTGTTGGACTGGATAGGCAAACATATCAAAGAAGATCCACACTGTATTTTGTCACCCGTTTTCCAGGACTATGAAAAATATTTGAGAGAATTGAATGAAAAATTCGTCGCAGAAAGCCCCGATAAGTCTTTTTCGAAGCCAGACCAGGAAAAGCCGATCACCACTATCCATTCTTTGAATTCTAATGGTCTTGGGTCAACTAACCCCGTCTCAACCATTTTTTCGAACAAGCCAGCCGAATCTGACCTGAATAAGCCGACGACCCAAACAACCACTTTCCAACCTTGTGTATCCACATCGTCAGATGGCGGAACGGCCAAACCAGCTTTCAGCTTCAGTTTTCCACCTATATCGTCTAGTACTTCACAGCCTCTTTTTAAATTCGGTCATTCATTGCCAAGCGCTACCCCTTTTGTACCCACCAGTAACACGTCGTCTGTTACGACAAACCCAACTGACGAAGGTATTTTCTACAACCTTACTATTCATACTGCTAATTATCTAGATAATGAAGAATATCAGCCACCAAAACCCGTCGTACGAGAAATCAAGGAAGAGGGCTCCGTTTTCTCTGTGAAGTAGGTCAACTTTATTTGTATATCCATTTGGTAGTCATGTTTTTCAGTGCTTAAGAAGTCCAATAAGTAACGGTTTCGTTCTTTTCCTTCTCACCTAACGACTGCTTCTGGTTTTGTTTACTCACCATGAAAGTTCTTTGCATTTGTCGCTTGTTGAGTGTTATACGTATCATCAGGACTATTATGTACTATGTTTTGTAGTGCCATGCACTGCTGTTCTACAACATTAGGCTCGAACTATATGACTCTTATTTTCTTGACCTGGGTTGCACTAGTAGTTGTTGAATTTTTCGCTGAACTGGGCAGTTTGACAGCCTAACCGCAATCACCGATCGACTAGACATCAGTACTTCTTTGTGCGACGGAGGTTAGACGTGCACTAGTGACGTTCGTGATATGATCAAACTGACTGGTGGAAATGTACTGGAATGTTTGTAGCTTCTGGTATCTGATCAGGTGGCCATTGATTTGTCATTCGAGCTTATCAATTAGCATTCGGGGGCTTCGTCACCGATCAAGGTGATATCAACTGTGCTTTGATATCACTTTTGTGATGAAACGTTTGGAAGCTATTTGCAGAGCTTGGCGAACAGATCAACGGTTACCTGATCGGGCACCTTTAGGTTACACAGAAAGGTGCCACATGCCCCCAGTTCGACGCTAAAAAGATGTCCTACCTCTTCCTTCGGATGCTTGACCAGTTGGCAGCCATTGTTTTGTCAAAGCACCCGCTCAGTATGATGAAGGTGGCTAGTTTAATTGACCTCGCAATTGTAGCTTCCATTTTTTTACCGCCAAGTCGTGCTTTCACACACCTTGCTTGACAAGCAAACGCAATATGTTGGGTGTCGTCGTTTCGTCCATCACATGCGAATTCTGTCCAAAAGTGACTCGATGTGCTTTGGCGTTAATGACTCACCGGCCGAGCAATTATTTGAAGCTATGGGTGGCTTCAGATGGCTTTACATCATCCCACTGCGGTCGGGCTTACGACTCGCGTAACTATATGAAGCGGACTGCAGTGGTGGTGTGGCCCGGACCCTCAACATAGTCGGATGGCTATCACAAATGCTGTAGATCGACATACTCCACCCTTGTTTTCCGTATCCATAATGTACTTGGTCTTCCACCAGATCCTCAAAAAAGTCGAGAGTAGAGTCAGCTTGCAGTATATCAGCCACAGCGTCGCATCTGTGGTGTGAAGTATGTAGACGAGCATTTTAAGATATGGAATTTCAGGATTCAGCGACTGTAGCAATTAGATAGATTCACTCTTCTTGTGTTTTGTATTAGTTTTGTAGCAGCATTGTGTATCCTGCTGGGAAAAAAGCTCAAACTTGAATTACCTCCTAAATGCTATTCGCTTATTCAGAACCTTAAGGCCTTATGTTAACACGTTTAGATAGATTCTGTGCTAGCAAAAAATGTTATCTTTATGGATATAGCTGGTAGTTAAGGTGCAAAGCTGCTGGCCAGAAAGCACGTGGTTCAAACCCAACCCTGACTTCTGGTAATACCTCAGCTTTCCTACTTTCTTCGGATTGCTGTAGTAACGGCGTACATCTTGTGCAGTAGTTATAGCTGCTACAGTGTTGTTCACTGATAAGCTGGGGAGATAGGGGGGAACTACACATCGAGGGCAATAGCAGGCTAAGTTCATCCGTGAATCCACTAGTGCCAGTGGACGTTTCTTTGGAGGGATTTGAAGGGGATGCTATGCATTGAAGACAACATCCTGGATGCATGAGTGTCACTGAGGGCGCAAGTTTGTCATGTCTGACAATATTTCTGACCATTGGTGCGTCCCGCCTCGGGGTCCTCATCCAGAGAAGAAGCAATAACCGGCGCAGCTGGCAACGGCTTTGATACATCGCTCCCAAGTTATTTCTGAACGATGATTTTCACTACTTTGTGGATAGTGGAGTATGAAAACAAAGTAGGAAACTGGTTCGCTAGTTGTGACTTGACACATATTGACTGCTTTTCCAGACTGACATCTTCGCATCTTCCATTTTTGCACATAGATCGGACAACTTTAGCACGGTGAATTGTGCTTTCAAACAGCATAGCCTGATGAGCTTACGCTGGCACCGTTTCTGACTGTTTCAGTTCTGGTGTACTGCAGCTGCAGTCTGTGTCCAAATAATAAGGGCTAGTCAGACATCAGCACACTTATCTACAGTCATCCAGCTAACCGTCAAACAATTTTGTCCATGTATTCGTGTTATTCCATGCCCTTAAGAACACCATTTCCAAATAGAGATGGTGCTGAACGACTTTTCCATAAGACTTGAAATAAATTCCTGTAAATACCGCTTCTAGCTACATACCTTCGGAAAAACCACTTGTGACTTGTTCAGAACAATCCCGCGCCCTTCATTGAAACGGCCTTCCCTACTGCCATTGCCCCAGCCGGTCTGTTGTCCGTTACACTTTAGACAACCATAGTGGGTTATTTTCCCCCTGTTACTCGCTTCATATTGAGTCACCTATTGGCATACTGCCTTCCCACACCTTCCTCTTCCACTTCTTTAGGTGCAAGTTGTTTTACAAACTGGATAGTGAATGGAAGGAGCGCGGTGTTGGAAATCTGTTCATCAAGCCAATATCAGATGAAAAGTTCCAGTTGCTGGTCCGAGCAGATACAAACTTAGGTAAGTTCACGAAATGCACTCATTTGCATACCACTCACTCGGAAGCCAGCTGAATCTTTCTTATATGATAATCCCAAGCAACTGAATGTGCTGCAGGCCGTCTCATATTTCAGTTGGTACGATATTCGAGATGTCGCGAAGCCTGTATAGACTTAGAACACTACTCATAGGGTTGCTAAAAGCGCTCCGACAGCCCATGACCGGTTTCGCCCTTCTTGGGGCTCATCAGGTGGGCGCAGCCACCGAGTTCCCGTCAACCTTATTCTACTCGAACTCAAATAACACGAAAACAGCGAAATTCAGTCATTTATATCCTATTTTGGTTTTCCTACGGGAAATTCGCCTCGAACACAGCTGAACCTAAGCAATTGAATGTGCTGCAGTCCGCTTCATGTTTTGATTGGTACTTTATTCGAGATATCGTGATACATTGTGGAAAAGTTTTCAGCAACCTTATGAGTAGTGTATTAGGTCTAAATTAGGTAAGCTCACTTATTCGCTTCATTGTTATGTACTGATACTCCAGTATCTTGTATACAGGCAGCTTTTACCCGCTTTTACGTATCTCGGGCGCTTGTACATCGCCTGACAGTGATTGTTTCGCCATAAACCGAACCATCCGGACTTTTCCGCTTTATTTGGGATTTATTAGACGGATGTAGGTAATGTCACGTGGCTTTTTGACGTTCATTATCCTCTGGTGGCCTAGCGACCATGCGGCCGCCAGCCATCTTTTTGATGCCTGTGGATTCTTTTCCGTTGTCACTGTTGTATAAGCAGAAGCTTCCTGAAGAGCAACAGAATCGACCACTCGTTGAGGCAACGTGGGATGTGGCTGTAGCTTTACCAGTACGGGCTTTGTTTAATTTCCTTATTCATGTTACCAAAAATACTGGAACAGGAGTATATTACTGCTCACTTCTTTAGGTTACCGTGTATTATTAATGCTCTTATCGCCAGAACTGTTGCAATTGAATGACCCCTGAACGGTAGTTGAGAAAGTGAATTGGACTAAGTAGTGACTCTCTAATCACACTGGACATCCTGGAAATTGGATGTTGGTGTTGTCCTCTGAGTCATGCCTTTTGGGGGAAGATGTCACCGTTGCTCGTCTGATATGTATAGCATCCAGTGTGTGACAATCCAAAAGCCCTGTACCACCTCCAGGCTTTGCACAGCTTCATTACCTGGATAATTGCTTACTCACAGACACGTTTAAGTACTGCACAAATGCGAATACCTTCAATCATGTCGTCCCAACGCCGTAGCCTTTCATCTTTATAAGTTAAGCATTCTACATGTCCACTGCTGCAAGACGGCTAATGAAACGGGATGCTTGTGTTCAGAGCGGTACAGGCGGCCAAGCGTAGGTCGTTTCGAATGATACGCATATGGCGTAGAATAGTGCATAAGTGTAGTCCATCAACAACACTGTCATACTAGCATTGGTGTCCTTTGTCTCAATTGGCAACTTGACTCTTCCAAATACTTACTAAGAAAACAAGTGATTCGTTAGACTAACTTCTGGCTAGTTGGGTTGTTACAACTGCCAGCTAATAGCCGGTGCCCTACAGACTCCCTAGAGTCAAATAAGGGAACTAGTGAAACATGGTTGTCGGAGAAAGCCTGCAATGCGGATAAATGATTCAGTGGTTAAGGCGCGACTTTACTGACCGGAAGGTCCGCGGCTAGTGGACCTATTCAGAAAGCCGTCCAGAATCCTGTTAACAAAAAGCTACTAGTGGTCATTTCTTCCAGAGCTGATCATTTCATGCACATTCACATGCTTAGTCATAACTCTTGAAGTTTTCTTGATCTACTATTGCATGTAAAAGACTTCAACTATCTTAAAGGAATTCCCTATCCTCTGGATTCACCATTTTTCGTTTTTTTTTACATGCGTACGCTTCGGACTTTGTGTGATGGATCATTCATGGATCGTTCATGTTATCTTAGTATTACTTGTTTTAGTATGTTTATGCATTTTAAGGCCACTGTATGTATCTGTGAAGCACGGAGGACTGTACGTACCGGAGACGTTACCCGAGAAGAAGGACCCAGAAATTTTGATGTCAGAATACCTGCTTGTAAAGTTGACGTGCAATAATGTGCAAAGGCAGCTTCTGTGACCTACAAAAGCATCGCAAAATTATTATTTTATTGAATTTTCAAACTATAGTCTCTGCAACTGCCTCAGACTAGCAGGCATGCGGACTCACCGTTCTTCATAATCTTGCAATGCATATTGGGAATTTTTCCTACCTCCTTTCGGATTTCGCGGATTACCTCATCCCAAAGAAATTTTTGTGTAGGAACGCGTTGCCTGTGTTGTCTACTGTACCAGTGCATTGGCATTTCCGAAACTTGCCTGATCGGTACGTTGTATTGAACCGACGTACCTTTTTTTCTGTTATAGTTCTATCTACTAACAAACTAACAGTAGCAGGCTTCGGAAGTAAAAATGGCAGTGCTTGCACTCTCCGCGGGAAGCTGATCCTGCTTATGTTCACCTTAACGTCATTATGACTCTGTCACGTTCAAGCTTTTGTAAGAGATTGTTTCCATTACTCATTTCCTTATGTCTGAGGTGTGCTCCGTATTACTATACGGATCAGAAACCTCGCCGCTGCGTGCCGAGGACGTCAAAAGACTTTCCGTGTTTGACCATCGATGACTTCGGAGCATTGTCCGAATCTGGTTGGAACACCGGATCAGCAATTCTGAAGTACGTCTAATAGTATTCGGGAGAAATAGCTCACCCCCGATGGATGAACTGATCACACGGCATACGCTGCGCTGGGTTGGCCACGTGCTCCGTACGTCAGTCAACCGACTTCCTCGAAGGGCTCTTTTCGCACAACCACGTGAAGGGTGGAAGAGAGCCAGAAGCGGTCAAACAATCGCTTGGAAGGGTGTTGTTTCGTGCGGTGGCCCTCTATGGGTTACGCCTGCACTGAACCTGCCAGACTACGTGAAAAGGAGAAGCCAGAGAACTGGGGACACGGCTGTATTATCAGGACAAAACATACAGAGCGTCTGCGTAAATATATAGGATGGCTAAATGGCCAAATATGGTCGTTCACTTTTTCGTTCCGTACAGCCAATGGTGGTGTTCCGGTCGTGAACAATCTCAGGCCCACTACGCTGGTCGTTTGCTGCTAAGCCGTTTGGTGAGAGCCGCCAACTCACCTACTTTCAGGACGTGTCGAACCGATGGTGACCTTGGGGATGCGTCACCCTCTGCACATGTGCTTTTTCTTCTCTCTGGGCGCGCCCTGACAGAGGGAAGTATAAAAGCCATTACCAACAGACTCAGCTGCTCTGGTCATTGCCTTATTCGAGGATGGGAACCCCAAGACGGTCCATATCAATGGTTAGAGACATTGTCAGACATGGCCCGGTCGCGCCCTCAATGGCGCTCATGCATCCAAGCTGTCACCTTCAATACATAGCTCTCTTCCCAATCCTCCCACTTAACAGTCCACCTACAGTGCTGTATCCACCCACTAATTTATCAGCCCCCGCCTCCAACGCGCAGCTAGCTACCCCCCCTCCCCGAATCATCAGTGAACGAAACTGTGGTAGCTACAACCACTGTACGACGAGTACGCGGTTATTACAGCTGACAATGATGATGATAATGATGGTATATCTCCATTGATGTCCTTCATCCCTCATGTAACCAGGTCCCCTGTCACGACAACCATGTATCTACACACTTTATCAGTGGCTGATCGGTAGCGGAGTGTTAGTTGCATTTGAGGTGGTCCCAATGCATTCATTCTCATGGACGTCATCATCATCATCAAGGACAGCAACATCAATGTTGCCACTGATGCTCATGGATATGAATAGTTATGAACAACAACTACCCGAGAAGCTCACGTAATAAGTTGAAAAAACAGTTAACATAAACATGATGAAGATAGCGGGTAATTTAACAACTGAATAAAATACAACACATTATCCTATACGTGTTACTACAAAGAAGATGAGGTCTATCCGAGAGACATGAAATGGTGCACTTTTTCAGATGACAGAGCCTGTAGAATTGATCCACTGTGTTTTGAAAGTTACAGGAAAAACCTAACGCCAGTCAGCACTTTACGGATGAGTGCAAGTTATGTGCGGTACAGGAAAGTTGGTTATCGTTGCCGTATTAGGCTTGATTGTTTCGTGCCCACGTATCCCCCCTTGAAAACGTCCGCTTGTTGTGGGCATATGTTATTACTGTTGAACATTTGCGATCTTTGCACCAACATTGTTTTACAGAGAGCATTTTTGAACTTTTATTCCGATACCCATGAAAGGAAGAAGGCCTTTGCTGCGGAGTTATTTATTCGGAAATGTCAACTGACCGGTTACAGACCATTGAACAGGGGAGCAAAACTTTAATCTGCATCTTAGTTACATAAACTGGACACAGATCTTCTCCCGAACGAGTCTTCCTAGAGATTCATTGCCACCACTCATTCGTAGGTCAAATCCAAGCAAATGTTACAAAGTGGCCCCACGAATTCCGCAACAGAATTCCCTTTTTCAATAGACGCAAAGCGAAATTCTACGAACAACACACTACTCGCGTGCCTCCCTAATCAGTAGTATCACCGTTACGCCCACACCACGTATTTTTTGCTGTCACACCTGCTTTGTTGATTCTGTTGACAACTGCTAGCGAAATTCTGTACATATGATATTGCTATCTATTAATGAAGGATGAAAACCTTAGACTTACGTCAATGGTTTCTCAGTCCTTATCTAGTAAATTGGGTTATGCTGCGTAACCCCCTGCTTTTTCTGATTTATTTTTTACACTCATTTTGATTTATTGTGTTTTTCTCCTCATTTCCAGGCAATATACTACTGAATATACTTATGACAAAAGACATACCCGTCAAGCTGCAAAAGAACAACTTGACTTTGGTTTGTATCCCATCTCCTCCGCTGCCCCTGCCACAATCTAAACAGTCAGGGGACGACGGGAACCCCAAACCGATCCCAATGCTGTTGCGTGTCAAGTCAGAAGAAAGTGCTTCGGAGCTACTTAAACAGTTTGACAAATATCGTGGTATCGTCGGTGTTGAACAAACCTAGTAACTGCATACATCCGCAAACGTTCCAGAATGCATCCGTATGGCCCGGTTTTTCCATGGATCTTTCTAATATGGAACCGTGGCACTCCGTTGTTGAGTCCCTTGCCCGCCCAAATCCTTTCCAACAAAAAAACTTTTGTCGTTTCTTGTGCTTTTGGTACGCGCCATATCCCAATCTCGGATGGCGTTAGATTACATGTCATCAAGCATTTTTGGTGTTTCTCCCTGTTATTGCAACGTAGTGAGCCCTTATCGCCAGTCACTTCCGCCTAGCAAGGCCGTGTTTACACAAGTCATTTGATTAATACTTGGACACTCACCTCATTCATATCCCGGATGTCGTTGGGACGAATCCGTTAGTATTACTTAAAAAAAATGCTCGTGCATAAACCCTCTGAATGATAAAACTGCGCTTCGGTGGAAGGCAGTAACACGTAATACCGAGTTGTCACTAGTACATTAAAATAACTCACCTTCGTACGTGACTAGGCAGCGAATATTCACCAAAGACCGTAAGTCTGTAATCAGGCTCCCATTCAACAGAAGTTTTCATGCAGAGCATTACCTATGAATTCTCTTTGATAGTGACAGATGTTGGCAGTTTAATGGCGACTGAGGTCGGGTGCTCTGTTCTCAAAACACAACTGGCATAGTGGCACCTCTGGGTTGGAAGACTACCGGGCGAAATACATCCCGGTTTTACCGCAACGGTTATACGTATCCACTTTTGTGAGAAATTCTCTTGTTCCCCACAGCTGTCCATTTCAGCTTCCCGAAAGAGCAGTCCATATCTGTACTAGCATCTTATAAAGTGTTTTTCAAGTGAAATGAGAAACTAGCGTTGTAAGAGAATATAAGTACCTTCGTATCCAGAGTGTGAAGGTAATCGGATCCAAAATTACGGTTGGTAATCTGGGCCTTCGTCAGTTAGGTGTTTGTTCAAGTTGAGCTAGCTGTTATTGCAGCACATTCAAAATAGGGATTAAGTAACACGTCTTTCCTCAGGCAACACTTCATGAGGTCGGGTACCAACAGTTCGACGCTTTTGTCGCCAGTGTGCCGCAACGGTTCGAAGGTTACTCATCCCTTTTAAATTGAGACAACTCAGTGGTTAAACCGCGAACCGCAAGCTCCGTGGTCTGAATCCAACCCTAGTATATCGACTGTTCCTCTGTAGACTTGGGCAACCTGACAGTACCGCGCCCTTCGTGCTTATTCCAGGTGGTATGACAGGCACCGAAAGGGCGTTACAGCTGGATGATTTTTTCTCGCCCCACAAGGTTGCAAAGTCTTTAGAGAAGTACAGTAAAAAAAGGGAGAAGCAGAAAATGCAAACCTACCCACTTTTTTCGTTGTTCAACAGTGGTCGCAGCGTCGTTTCAGTACCGAATACCGCACAACAAGCCTGAGAAATGGTACAGGCCCAAGCATCAATTTACTCAGTAGCACTAAGCTGTCATGGTTGCTTGCTGATGACCAAAGGTCTTCGGAAAAACGTTCCTTGTTGCAATCCCTACTATGCCGTCTTCGCAGCATCCGGTAACGAAACCGCAGAAATCAGGCTTCACAACGCGTGTTGTCGCGTGCATCGCCATAGTGAAACTTTGAAACATTGTTCAATGATCTAGTAAGCTGACGAAAGCTGGTCACTGTGTGGATGTTACAACGGTGCGTGCACCCAATGGCGACGAACTCACACAGTGTTGTAAAAGCAGACAGATATACTACAGACTAGACTTGATGCCTAACATCATCATTATCAGGGCGCCCCGTTGATTATCACCGCCCTTTTGCAACCAATTGAGCCAGCTTAAACAACTCCATCAACTGATAATACTGTGTGTTCTATCCCCAAATCACTTGTGCTGGATTGTTAAACCTAGCTTACAGAAATGAGCCTTGAAAATATTCGTTTCTGCAGAATTGCGTTTAGTGATGTTGGTCCAGGCTGTTGCCTGAGAGATGTTCGTCAGATGGTCTCTAATCGGCTTCTTTACTGCCTGGCCAACATGTTCACTGGGGCAGTTATCGTCCAGTGGCGCAGAAGGGTTCAGTTACTTTTACTACTGCAACCAAAATGGGTTATGATATTTCGGTTGGACAGATTGCAACTAACGTGGAAATCCTAACACCTTATGTAAGCAATGGAAAGAAGATGGTCTTTTAAGTCTCACTGCCAGGTTGTTCAAAAGGTTTACTATTTTGGGTATACAGCTCGAAAAAAACATTCCGTCAGATATTGTTCGTTGTTGAGAATCTTAATCTAAATTTGCTGGAAGGGTTTCCGTCTGCTGTTCGAAGTGAAGAATGTATGAATGATCGGTTTTTCGCGAGACATGATTTACACTAGCACTCTCGGTTACCGATACTTCCGCCCAAAGTGGATGGTGCCAGCCTAGCTAGGGTTAACTATACGTGGATTTAAACGGACCTCGGACCGACAGGGTTTTGGTGTCTTGTGCGTACCCATCAAACACTACCCAAGCAATAATTACTGAGAAGAAACCGGAGTAACTTGTTCCCATAATAGCCGAAAACTTCCAGTATCCCTATGACTTCTTCCTCGAAATTTTCACGTGGATTGACGTCAACGATACGGGAAAATCTTTTGGTCTCCACCAATGAAAGACTGCCTTAAATTGACAGCTGCGTTCGATCGGTAATTCTAGACATCACGTGACACCAGTCAAATATTTCCTTGGCTGTCTACGCATTGGTCTTTTCGTCCTTGTGAAAATGTGAGTGATATCTTGCTTATTATGCCTTTCGGTATTGACTTTTTCACGTAAATGTGCGTTTTTCCCAACCACCAAGTCAATATGTAATCGTGCGTCTAGATAAGAGAACATCTCTTCTCTAGATTTCTTGAAATTTTGGAATGGCTTTTTGCAAATACCTTCTTTGATTTTCTCTCTTCTTACCAGACACTTCGTCGGGTTCATAGTATAGCTGTTCGAATAGTGAATGCTGGAGTTTCGGACTCCATCTGGACTCCACCTAGTCAGTTATCTTGTACGTTTTAGGCCTCTTCATTCTCTGCACGCTGTGTCGGAGGCGATACAAATGCCTATCGTTCAGCATACAGGAATTCGTATTACATTAGTGGCAGCATGAGATTCCCTGTCACCGGTAGTTTGTAAATTTTGGAGCCATCCTTCCATTTGTTTTGTATTCTGATTCTGTATTCGGATGAAATATCGCATAGTGACAAATGGTCATTCTGGAATAATGTCCTGCTGATGAAGCACAGTTGAAAGCATGACTATCTTATCGGAAAGCCCTTGGTTCTAGTCCAGCAGGCATAATCGGCGTTGTCCTCCTCTGCGAATAGGGTGAAATGACTAAAGTCGTCCAGTCCTCTGGCATCCTGTTGTAACCACAAAATGTACGGTTACAATCTGGACATGCAATCACTTAAAGTTCAAGGAGAGGCATTCAAGGTTGTATAGGTTGCATAGGTTCTGAGAGTAGTGTGGCAGAAGAAGAAGTTAACGCACAAATCTGAGTTTGGGAGAACGTTTGCTAATTTGACAAACATATGGCCGCAAAATGGCATATCTCTATATCTAAAAAAACATGTGTATCAGGCTGCAGAAATGGCTCCCCACCTACTTTTATTCTTTTCACAAAAAGGCTTTCAGGTGAATTATGGTTTTATGGCAGCTAAACATCATTGTTCGACGCTGATGGTGTATTTTTGGTGTTGATGTTTTATTGCTTTTTAACAATACAAAACAACTAAACTACAAAAAGTTGGGAAAACGAGAAGAAAGAGTGAACAGGTGAGTGTCATCACGTTAGCCCACGACTTCACTCAGCTCCATTAAGCAAAATGCTACATTGGTTGATGATAAATGTTCCTTTTGAGTGATTCGATGTGTTACCGACACGATGTTCATCAGCTACAACAACCTTCCATTGAATGGAGCTGTCGAATAGCAATTCTGAAATGAAACAGTTGGTTGATATATATATATATATATATATATATATATATATATATATATGCTTGCCTGCGGTCTTAATGAAATGTCCGGATCAGTCCAGATATGAACCTCAGTGAAGGAGCTTTTGACAGTCCAGTGTGAAGTCTGCATGTCTCATTTCATTAATCAAATCAAGACAAAGACCTACAGCAATCTGGGCCCGAATGAACCTCAAAAACGGCATCGATAATTATCACTGCGTATCCAAAAGAAGCTGAAGGAGGTAAATATTCTGGAGCTGAAGGGGATACCTGCAAGAAATATACAACATGAGACCCATCATTGTGATCGAATTGGGCTTCCAGCCCATCCAGCAATAAGAACACCTGGCACAATCACGCCTTTAATGATTATTTAATTTATTTCTTTATTTATCAATCTGTTTGTGTATTATCAAATAAGTCCCCGTTCCAAAAGCTGTGTTTCTCGTACCCAAGATTTCCCAGTCAAATCTGACAGTACGGCATACATTCTTTGTCCCAGTAGCTACAGCAGGCGAATCATGAAAATTTCGCCAATGAGCTTCAATCATTTTGCCAACACGTGTTTTGTACAAGTGCAACCTTATAGGCAGATAGGTCACCTCTAATTAGATCGCTGGCTGATTTTGTTCAGTTTTTCAAAAGTATTGTAATGCTCTCAGTGAACAGTCACTCAGCATCGGTGTCAAACATTGTATTACGAATTCCCTTCATCCCTATGGAAAAACCATGCTCCGTTTGGCGGACCATCTGAAACGGTTTTTAATCCAAGCGGACAAATGATCATCTTCATTGTCAGCTGTAATAACCACGTACTTGTCGTACAGTGGTTGTGGCTACCACAGTTTCGTTCACCAATGATTCGGGGAAGTGGGGTAGGTAGCTGCGCGTTGGAGGCGGGAGCTGGTAAATTAGTGCGTGAATACAGCACTGTAGGTGGACTGTTAAGTGGGAGGATTGGGAAGAGAGCTGTGCATTGAAGGCAATAGCTTGGATGCATGAGCGCCATTGAGGGCGCGACTGGGCCATGTCTGACAATGTCTCCAGCCATTGATATGGCCCGTCTCGGGGTCCCCATCCAGGAGGACGGCAATGTCCAGCTCAGCTGTGTTTGCTGTTATTGGCTTTTATATTTCGCTCCAAGAAATTCATCACCAATCGGGATGACATCGTCAATATGTGGTTGATTGTGTTACTTCTTCCTCTTCTGCCTGCGTTTATGTAGATTCTAAACAGCATCTGGTAGCTCTGAATTGATCGGTTGGTCCCAAGGCGGTCCTCACGCAGTTTGATTGCTCACCTGTGGAGCCAACAACCAAGCAGCGCACCCGAGCTATCTATATTCCACAACACTGTCAGTTACAATTTAATTCAAATGAAAAGTTCAGTTATTCCGTTGTTAAGTAAAATCTGCAATTTATTTTTTTCGGATACCTTAAACCTTGTTGGTGGAAGCTATCAACTGATGTGTTTGATCTTCCTGAGGAGCAAACAAGATTTTAGGGGGTTTTGGTCTGTTGTTTCGACGGAGTAAGCTACCACGACCTAAAAACTAAGTAAAGCATGATATCTAGTGTTATGGATGCTTTTTTTCTGATTAGACTCCAGCTCAGTCGCTGTGCCCAGTGATTCGGGACCCGGTGGTTAGTTCATTCTGGACAGTGTATTTCTTTTGGGCGTCGTATCGACGTTATAAAGCTTCTCGTGACCGTTCTTGGGCAACGATTTGGAGCAATATCGTACCCCATTGCTAGTCGGTTTGTGGCGCCCTTTCGAAAGACTTGCTGACGGAAACAAATCAAAAACTTAGTTGACCGATATTTTGCAATAGTGCATTATCAGACTGGATTCTGGTCTCATAGTAACTCTGGGTCTCGTGTGTAAGAAGATACCACACATTTAATGTAATTAGTCAGTTTCAGGTAACTATCACTTCTTCAGTGCTGGTTATGCAATCAGAGTCTGAGTGGACCATATCACCCCCGACAACATCTGTGAAATTTATCTGTTCCTTGGAGCAATTGATCTCAAACTTTAGCGACACCGGCTCTTTGTATGAATCGATGTCGATCAAAACCAGTACTTACAAAAAATTGCTACTTTGCCGTAGAAAGTGCGAAAGCTTCCCATGTGATCAGGTGAAGGAAGTTTTTCGCTTGCCTCTTTCAGAGAACATAATGTCAGATGAATACTCCAAGGTTTCCGGGGTGGCGGCTTCCAATACACTCCTGAATATGCAACGGTTTTCAAACACACAGCATCAGGGGTCTTTTTCTCTGAACATGCGCTCGAGCAGAAAGTCGGTAGCGGGTTCTATGGCGAGAGCCTACAAACTGGCACAATACTTCCGTGTGCTGCCTTGTTTGTTTTCAGAACAGGTGAGTCACGTAAAATAATTGACGGAGCTACAGAAATCGGGCATTCCTTTCATTCCTTCGTTTAATAACCTGATTCATATAGTGTTAGCTCTCACATGATGAGAACCACCACTGAAAAGGTAGCTTTTGCTTACCAATTTGGCGATTCTTACACGGTTGTAGCCCTCCTTGTAGAGGGCTTGTTTGATCATTCTTCATAATGACTGTCATTGGTTCAATAAAATGCAAATCGCTGATTCAGGCTGTTTTGATTGCGCAAGACCCAAAACGGTGCTTTTTCAACGCACTAACCCAAAAGATTCAGAGACCTTATGCTTACTGATATTCAAAATTCTGGGGAAATTGGATTACGGAGTTGAGTTCTAAGTCGGCTCTGGTGCTCTCTTTAACAGAGTGCTTCAGGTCGCTTGGATAAATTGTAACACTCAAGGACTAGCGAGGACTCGCAGGAAGGCCATAACTAACCTTATCCTGTTTATGGTTCCTCAGGGATGCGTGCTCTCCAACTTGCCAGACAACCTGTCTTTTGACGATGCTGTTTATAATTGCCACCAACCTCATTATTTAGCTCGATTTATATTCATTTACTTTAATCATTCACTCACGAACTTGTCTGTAATTTGAGCAAACTAGTGAGGTTACGTGTAGACGTGAAATCCTGCTGAATCTGCAAGACATCTCGGTGCTGTCGAACAATATTCCACCACCTGATAGGATTCTGGACATTGTCTTCGAAGAAATCTCCAAGCGAAAATACTACACTGAAAGCTTCTAATTTGTTGTGCCTGTTGGTGGACGACGCTTTGAAGGAGACAATCTGGAGGAACTCCCCTCCACGTAAATTTTATAGGTGAAAGATGTGTCTATCCTTGGAAAAATCTGTGCCTTGTGTCACCTTATTAGTGAAACTATCTAGAGGACCACTTCAGTAACACTACGAGAATTTCGAAGAAGAAAAATACCTTTGTCAGCAAATTTTTGCCGGTGTGAGCTGACTGGGACGTGGTGATTATTAAGACTGGGCTTGGTGCTATAAACTGTGAAGTCTCCGATGGAGCTACCATTCTTCCCACGCTTAATTTTCTTAACATTGAATGCGAAGCAAAAGTCCTCAGCCACTGCTGGTCCATCCCTATGGTTACTCCGTATGCCTCACACGATTATCTGCTTACAGGTCTTAGGGAGGCTTTCTGGAACATAAGGCTGCGGTGATTCTCTCAAGCTGATTGGCCTTTCCGCCAACAACTTCGTTTGTGAAAACTTGTGAAAACCGGGAGGTCCCGGTTACGTATTCTTTAACGACTTGCTTATAAACACTCCTAGAATTATGGTATTTCTACTAACTTTCGGCCATTGTATGATCAGAATTCTTACAATGTACGCAATAGGCAATTAAAGAATACAAACCCTGATAAATTCACCTTACTCAGGTTTTCAGATTTCTGTTTTTGATGATAATAATGGTGATGATGATGAATACGATGATGATAAGCTGTTCACGCTCCGCTTCATCTAATTGCCCGTTCGATTCATACGTCTTGCGCTCTGAAATCTCGTTCAGAAATCCACATAACTGCGCACCAAACGCCTAAGAGGAAGTGGACACCGAACAAGGCAGCGGCAAAGTATTATTCTACGTCTTTTACCACTAAAATTTCTGAATTAGACGTCGATTTTATCCTGTATCCAAGCGGCACGAATAGCTGGAAGGCAATCACCGCTCTCATGGTGAAAAAGCACAAAAAACGTTTCATAGAGCATATCGATGGGTTGAACCACTTTCTTGTCGCTAAAACTGGTAACACAAGGAACTATGCTTCATATTCGGATTGAATATGAAGACAGCAGCAATTATCAGTAACCTACGGCATGGAATGAAAGGCCTCGGTAGGCAAGGTCAGTGGCCTTGATGTTCTTTCATCTTTGATTTTTAGGTCAATTGCCAAGCTCTTCATACTGGCAAGCAAGCTGCCAATATTCCGGTATACTGTTATGGACAGATACACATCTACACAGATATTAACAAAAAAATTCCTGGCTCTCTTGTTATGAGGCCTCAATATCGCCCGTCTGTACTGTGGCGTCCCTGTGGCTTTCCTGAGAGATTTTTACGTCTTATGCTGCTCAATCCTAATAATGAAGCCTTACCACTTACCGTAGAGAATGGATGGCAGTAGAGAATGTGGTCAATATGTGAGGAACGATCGGTGTATAATTGTTATGACGCCATTATCCACGCTATCTGAAAACCGACCGTCGATACACATGCAGTTTAGAAGAGCAATGGCGATTAGTCATTGTTAACTGACAAAGTTCCAACCACCATAAACAGATGAGCGCCTGCACGACCACACGAAAGTGGCTGTATTATCATCACCATTGTCAGCTATAAAATCACTACAGTCTGACCATGTGAGATCACAGTGAGGTTTCTCCGTTTTGGTAAAACATGAGAATTCATGTTTGCATCCAACCTACTTCTAAAATCGTCACAGTACAGCGTGCTCGTTTCTACTAGGGTCGTTTGTTGTTGGTATTGTGAGAATATTTTGGGATTTTGATGGAAATTTTCTCCTGTGGGCGAAGTCAGTTTATACTGAAAAGCCGAGAAACACTGTATAGATATTTCATCCTTATTGGGAATCATCAGCAGTGCGCAGCGCACCAATCCTCAGGAAGTTTCGAACCCATGACCTTCTGACAAATAGTTTGAAAACTTAACCGTTCGGCACCAGCGGTTGGTCACCAATGTTATTAGCTCTTACCCAAGCATTATATAGAGCCTTGTAACCTTCCCAGTAAAAATGAAATCCTCAGGAAGTTTCGAACCCATGACCTTCTGACAAATAGTTTGAAAACTTAACCGTTCGGCACCAGCGGTTGGTCACCAATGTTATTAGCTCTTACCCAAGCATTATATAGAGCCTTGTAACCTTCCCAGTAAAAATGAAACAGCTGTACAGTACTCCTCAACTTTTTAAGCATAGATTGGTTTTACTTACAAGACCGCTCGGATGTAATGAACCCAGACAGTATAGTTAAAATACCACCAAAGAAGAGTAGACAGTCTGGTAAATTTAGTGGAATCAGTAATCTAGTCAACCATTTAATTGTCATCTCTCCTACATCCGAATGACAATCAAGTCGAAAGGTCGTACATTGGTAGCCCCCATAGAATAATCAGGTGCGCGACGAACGACTTAAAAACATACTATCTCCGTCACAATTTTCGTGCACTTCGATGTATATACTATACCTTTGTACTGATCTATTCACGGAGTAAGACAATGAAAACTTCAGGGCGAATTTGAATACGAATTGCCGAACCATGTTGATCTTGGTATATCCGACTGTGAAACATTAGATCTTTCGGCCACGGGACAATTTCTGCTGCCGTGCAGCTCCTTGGATTATGACTTTCCATTACCGAACTGGGTCGTACTCATCTATCTATTCAAATGTTTGCATTTCCATTTGTATACGTGGCTAGATGGGAACTCGATACGATTGTATAATGCAAGAACTCGCTAGAGAGAAGTCACTAGAAATGTTGTGCTCTCATCCTTCGAAGCAAGTGCTCCTCCATTTAGAAGATGCAAACTGTGGAGCGGTTTGTCGGGGAACTCTGTTTTTCCCATTCTCCTTAAGCCATTTTCGTGCTGTCGGCAATTTCCACACTACTTAAACCAAAACCGAATCTTGTTTTTAGGTTACAGGGAAACTCCGATTTGAAGGGGGTAAATAGTCCTGAAGATAGCAACACGAGCGCTTCTGTTCTCATTATGACTGATACGGTAGTTGTATAGGGATAGAGCACGTAAACCATTGCTTAACAGACTGCGTTTTTGTGGGACATTACTATTAACGACCATTTCGATCGGCTACGGAGTTTCAGCCAGGTACGAAACTTTGGTTTTACAGAGCTGCTGACTTAGTTACCTGAGCACGGGAAGATGATCAGTCTGTTATCTAGTTATTCATCGCCTGTCGCCGACGACCTATTAATAACATTAATGACAATAATAATAGCCAGTCAATAGGCTTGGAATTTCATGGTAATGCAGTGCGATAAACAACAGTTCACCGTTAGCTATGCAGGATACTATGTATAGAAATTAACATGGCGATGTCGCATTTGAGCGAATTTTATTCGCAAAACGTAATGGCACTAATAAAAATGAGTGGTACCGTGGTTATAGCAAATTAAGCAAGCGCCTGCTAGCGTTGTCCATTTGTCTTAATGTGCGCTTTGTCCAGCACTTAAGGAAGGCAAGAAATCTATTAACGTGAACAGCACTCAAAAATTCGGGCAATACTGTTTTAAAACATCTCGCTGTCGAACAAAAGCCAAATGAATGTTTTTTTTATTTTTCACCCAATTAGATTTTCTGTTTTGCTGCCTGCCTGCTCAAGTGGTTTCGACTGGAGACCATGCGACAAGAAGCTTTAGCGGCATCGTTGGTCAAAGGTCATCATGGGGATCGCCAGATGGCTGTTGTTGGGCAGGCTGGCGGATCAGAATTCCAATTACAGAAACCTTCAGAAGATCAAGACGAACCCATCGAAGGGTTTGAATCTCACAATTTGGAACCGGTTGTACAAGCTGTTGGGTCGATGAATGATGAAGTTGAACAGGAGGATACATTGAGTGGAGCATCAGACGAGCTTCCCGGAGAAAGTCAACAACCCACAGAAGCTGAAGATGGGGCGGAAGAAGAACTCACACGTAGTAGTGATGAACAGGTATCAGAGAGAAATTCTCTGATTAGGACTTCGTTTCTATGTCGTTATCTATCTCTGCAGGTCGAAGCGGCACACGTCACCAGATGCAAGGTTAACGGAAGCTCATCGGTCTTATAGGCACAATCATATCGAACGAGTAGCTTGGCATCTTAAATACTCACAAAACTATACCATGAAGCAGTCTTTCTGCAGCCATTTCCTCCTGAAAATAAAAGTTCTATTCTAGACTGGCTAGCCGAGCGGTCTGCACCAATCACCTCCGGAACTGCAAGCTATTCTTCACAGCTTCGAGCATGGGGCCAATTCGCGTACTATATTCGGATAGCAAAGATGGACTACTGTGCTACTCTATAGTTGGAGTATCCTTCTGTTATATAGAACAACTTCACTCATACGAACACCGTCTGACACACTTATTTCTTTCATTAGTGCTTCTAGGTAAATCCTGTGTGCTGCGATCGTGTTTGCTTCCTCGCATGCATGTGTGACTGCTCCAGAACAACCAAATGTCGGTCCCTTTTTTGCCCCGGTTTTACCGCACGTCAGGTGCTGCGCCCACTAAGTATGCTGACAAAGACCACTTAGCTGTCCTTTAAATGAATCGGTTCTACGAAAAATCATTTTGGATTGTTGCCGTCAACCTGAAACCACTGTTCCGGTTGCACTGGTCTCTTTTGAACCATTTTGGGGTACGATAACCGCTGACTTACCCCTAGACAACAGTTAGAAGAAAAATATGTTGGCTGTTACTTGCTGATTGTCTATAACCCAACCTAAACTATCGTTTATTGGAGGCGCTTCTTAATGCGGATGCATCTGATCAACGAAGCTGCTGAAACAACCAGAATACCTCTGAAAGAGTTTTTTCTTGTGTTTTGCTGCTGACTTCCCCATACAGCTAAGCTTAAGTTATCATCGTGCACAATGAACAAGGAGTGCCGCCTCACTGCTTCGGATGCAACAATAGGGCTTCCTTCGTGATGTTACTGTCCAGTTCCGTTTTCGTAATTCCTGGAATCTTCGTCATCCAAGTCTTTAGGCTGATCGCCATCTTTACTGTGGAGAGGCAATTATCAAAGACGCCGACTGCGTTCTGAAGTGCCAAGTTAGTGCCGCATAACCAGAATGAGCAGCCTCTACCTCACGGAGAGATAGGCTAGTTTATTGTGTAGTCGCTGTGCTACAACGAAGCACGTTTTGTTCAGCATTTCTTGTCAGCTGGGTAGAAAAGAAATTACGTCGGATGTTGCGGCCATATGGGTAGGAACAGCCTTTGGTTGCGGTTAGATCTGCGTTGTAACAGTGAACTTTTCCACTCAGGCTGTTTATGGTTTCCTCAGTGTGGAAAAGTATTACGCTTGTAAACAAGACTCGAGCCTTTGTATTTAAGAATTCTAGCAACAGTACGGTTCTTGTATTTTATCAGCCAGCTTTTCTCATCCAAGCTTTATTGTTCAACTGAGACCATACAGAAAAATCCTACTTGGATAAGGTTATGAAGGAAGATTGTTGCCTGCTCTCCCCATAACTGTGTGAGATTGATTTCTGTTATGCGCCTCACCGATTTTCACATCTGTCCCGCTTATGTGTACCAACCGGTGGTATGAAGTAAAAAGCTGAAGTCTTTTGGCGGTTTATTTGTCTGTTGAAAGCCAATGAGAGATCACTACCGTTCATACTTCTCGTTACTTTCCTACCATTGCCCTCGTTACACGATCAATGCAGACGGCGTTCAAACCCCGAAACAACTACCTCATTCAATGTACATTGCTGTGAAAAAAAGCCGTGTCCAGGTCAAAACACTTTTATAATTAATCGTGCAGTTGAACAACGTCTTGGAATTCAGTCTCAGCAATTTCGTAGTTTCTACCATGGGCTTTAGATTGTCCAAGGTGAACTAACCAGACTGTCACACTCACTAGATTGACAGTGCTCGTTGGAACGTACGGAAAGTATGATCGCTTATATAATAGTGCATTCTAGTAGCATGTATGAATGAGATAGTTTGTCCGACGTCGGAGGAAGAAAATTATGTTGCAGACAGCAGTACAGTATTGCTGATGGACTGTATCAGACTGCATCTTTCCCCAGTAGCTGAACAATGTTCATATTCCCACTCCCTGAACAGCACCAATCCTGCTAGACTTGAATTGGCCTGAATAGTTTCGAAACGAGCCACCTCGTAGCAACCAAATACGTTGGCCGCCGAGTTGTGCTGCGTGGAAAAACTTACTGTTAAGACACAAGCTAACAACAACCGAAGCTCTATAAGCAGGTTGTTCCCATACATACGACTACAACAACCGATGTGATCTCTTTTCTACCAAACTGGAAACTACTATAAACTATAAGCCACCACTGCAACGGTGGATACTACTGATGAGGCACGCGAGTAGTATGTTTTCTCGTAAATCCGCTTCGCGTCTCTTGAAAAGTGAGATCTCGTACGGGATTTGTGGAGTTGCATTGTACCATTTGCTTGCATTTGAGTAACAGTCAATGAAAATCTAGGGAAGTTTAGGAAGACGAGTTCAAGGAGAAGGTTGATATTCAGTTTGTGTAAATAAGATGCATATGAGAGTCTTGCTTCCTGTCCAATAGTCTGTGACTGTTCAGTTGGTGGTTCCCGAATAAACATCTCCGCGGTGGAGGCCCTCCTCCTTTCACTGCGTTTAACTCAGGAGATGATTGTCATCAGCCTAATCATTAAGGTATTCCTAACGAATGGTAAAATGGATAGCCACATGAGATATTGTCACAAAACGGATGCACCCCCACATCCATTTTTTTATTCACAGTATTCCCGAGCAACTCTGTCGAATGTCTCAAAACCATCCTCAAGTATTTTTTCAAAACTGGCTTTTCAGAGTCAAATATGTTATACGTTGCTCGGTTTACCTTCCAATGTTTACCAAATTATAGGACGTGCCGGTGGAGCGGCCAATCTACGGAAATCTGAATAAGTCCGTTCTCACCAGGATCAGTTACGCAAACGCCCGTGAACGTCGGGACACTTACAAACTTGCATTCAACACGATGAAATGTGAGTTCATTTCATCACCGGAGCAAATGTGTGCAAATGTGAAGAGCTGGAAATCGATGTACACTAAAGATCCACTGTAGGCAATTTCGCATAATGTGATTTTCATTCTTCACAATGGTACTATTTCGCCTAAGTTGATCAGAATAAGGTCTCTCGCGAAAGGTCCGAGAAATCCTCGTAGTTTCGCTTAGTTTTTGAACATGAAGTCAGGTAGCATTGTAGTCATGTGAGTAGGCTAAACTTAGTTGTCCGAGTTCATGTGGTTCGTCACTATTGCTCCGGACATTATTGCCAAGCTTCAGTACCTTCTTTGTTGTGGATCCTGAAAGGAAAGCTGCAACCAGTCAGAATGGCATACAAGTCCAAATGAAGTCCAAAGCACTTCGTCAAAAAGGACCAAAGCTTGTGAAAACGCATCCAGTTTTTAGTGAAAACGTATTGGACGATCATGTTGCTGCCTATGGTGTTTCAGGCAAGCATGTAAACGGTAAGAGGCAGTTTGCTCTCGTTACAACTTCGTAGAGTTGATCTAGTTTTTCGCTAAGTACACTGGAATGTATCATACAGATGTCCGGTGCTACAGGAAAGTCAGTTCATTATCCAAATAGACCGCATCATACATTAGCTTGCAGATAGACCCGAATGAGTGGTAATACTTGGAAGGCTCTAAGCTCCCAAATTCACAAACAATCAAAGCTGGTTTATTTTCTTCTATTCTAATCAAATCTATTCAGATTCCTCGATTTTGGAAAAGCTTTTAGAGGAAATTGCGTTCTTCCTGGAATATCCGGATCTGAAAGACGAGGAGTATTTAGTACTAGTTCTGGCCTACGATTACGCAATGCGGAATTTCCAACGACGCGTTCCTCTTCCCAACGATCGCCAACTTCCCACACCAGAGAGATATTTCGAATATCTGTCAAACAATCGGTTAGTGCTATATCCAGCCGGTAACGAATTGTTTACGGTGAGTTGGGAAGAGCATAATTTGTCCCTTCCTTTCATAAAGAGAAATTTCGTTTGCAGAGGAAATTCTAATCCGCCAGAGTACCATTTTGTTCCAAAATAGTGACCACCGTTTGCTTGGAGTCTTTTGACTATCAGTCCTCAAACAAGAATCTTGTGAAAACTACTCATTCTAGCTTTCAATGTAACAGAAAAGTATAGAAATAGGTAAAGTAGTTTTGCCAAAAAACACGTCACCCCACATGGACGGATGACTGAAGAAGTTCTCTCACAGATCCTCCAACAAACGAAAAGAAACAGAAACCGATAGCCAATACCGCAAAGGGGAAGGATTTTCTATGACTGTCGATAGAGTTGTACGTTTCAGTCGCAAAAGTAACCAAATTAACCAAGCCCAATGTAAGAGCTTCCAAGAAAAGTATGTTGGATTGGCTGACCGGCAGGAACGCCCTACTGGAAAGGTTTAGTCCAATGGTCTGTACGCAAAGCAATGAGAGAAGCACATTACTCATGACCACTGTAATCATGATCGTCATCGACAGCATACCATCAGTGTCCAAAACTGATACTTCACCGCCGTACAGCTACAATATTTTGGAAGCCTTTTTGTGAGAAAAGTGGATGGGGAAGGGACTTCGGGATGGCCTTACACAGTCCAAGTTGCCCATACCTCCAGACACTTATTCGGACACTGTGGATGGTGATTGACAACAGGAACGCTATGCCGTAGTCAGTTACTGATCCGCCCAATCGTTAACTTATGGCGATGTGATCAATTTGGGTTCGGGCCTGGCACGCTTTGGATGACTCCGGATGACTTCGGTTATCCCTGGATTTGGTATTGCGTGAAAAGTCTGCGGTCAGTACGTAGGTGAATAGGTCGCTTTCCACTGTCCGTCAAGATCAATCTAAATCCGTCATCCGTTGGAGTCATAGATGGGATAATTCTGCCCAGTTGTGCAACTACAACAGTATCTGAGCTTTGGGGTGCCGTAGCATGGCATTCAAAGTGCCATAAAGCTTATCTTTGACAGTTTCAGAGCTACAGTCGTTTGGAGCGTAAGCGAGCGCGACTGACAGACAACGATCAACTTCCCGCTTACGAGAATGCTTCATGGACCTCGCCAGATGAACCGTAAAAGAGTGACTATCAACGAGTATCCAGTCAAACAAGGATACGCTTTGGGACGATGCCGACCCTTGCGCACCCTGCCGGAGCTGGACCGCCAGTGGTGAACAGTCGAGAACGACAGGAGAGCGATGGGGCAGGTGGCTCAGCCACTGTGCGTTCACGTTTCTTTTCTTTCTGATGCACAGCACACAAGTGTTTCGGCTTGATATTCGCATACACATTTATTGTGAGTCGCTCAAAATTACAGCCTCTGAACAAGCTTCCCATTACCGCTTGGTTCGTGACTTCACATGAGAATTTCAAAGAGATACAGTTCAGTTCTTGGTAGATTGCTTAGTCTGTATTTTCTCGAATCTGTTTCAACGTGACTTAACTACGTTATGTTTAGGGTACAGAGTACCTACATGCCTTCGGTAATATCCGAAAAGGTTACTGTTGGTCTATTGCAGAGATAAGGTGAAGTCAAATAGTATATAACGGAGTAGTTAATTTCTGTTACATGTTTGGCACAAGGAGATTCTGGTCCATTAAATTAGATTAACTAACTATCCCGTGTACTATTCTTGGCTACATAATCCCTTGCGATTTTCTCACTATTCTTGTCTTGACTTTGCTTGGCCCACCTGCTTCGCGAAAATTCCTGTCCCTTATTGTTTGCTTATACGTAGTTCGTATATGGGAATGCGAACATAAGTAACCATGAATATCCTCTACCCTACGCAAAAGGTTGCGGAGGCGGCGGTTCAGGCTATGTGTATGCGTCTGGCAGCTGCGGTGGCCCGGGTTCGCGTGCGCAATCAAGTAGGGTCACTCCGACTTTTGCTCCCGGAAGAATGGCGCTCATCGGAACAAATGGCGGAGGTAATGCCAACGTACGGTTGGTATAATCAGCTACTTGGCAAGTACGTTTAGCACTGATATACTCAACTACGAACCATGTAAGTAACGCGTGGCGTTTTTTGCTGCAAGTGTTCCAAGCAAGAATTGAAATAAATTGAATTGCAGATCGCAGAACTTGGATAGATTCGCTGTAATGCTTTTTTGGACTATCAAAGATATACTTTTGCATTTAAACTAACAATTTCTGCATGCTTCCTTCGTCCAAACTAAATTTCAACCTTTAACTTATTGTCAAACTTGTGCGTGTATGCAATGACTAATGCACACACCAAGTTTAAATCTGTGACAAGCACTCTGTGTAGACACAGCCAAGACGGGCACCATCCAAACTAGGCACCTTCTCCAAATGTCACAGAAGACAGATCAATGTACCGAAATTTGGGAAACCGAAAGACTAATCGATCAAAACGATGTGAGATATGAGAAGACCCAGAGATTTGAATGAGAGAGTGGGTTTGACGGCCTGATTCATTCCCACACTATCAGCCAACGAATTAGTTAAACCAATTTAAATTGAGGCTTGTCACCATTGCAGACCGTGTAGAATTTCATGTGTTAAAACAAGTCAGCTAGGTTAAATCCTGTCCTTTTATCCAAGAGGCCTGAAAGCTGACGAGCTTGTGCAGACACAGTGCCTGATATATTTGTCACATCTGCCCCTCGTGCGTGTTCTGTAGCTGTAAAACCAGGCGACTGATCAGCGTTCGGTGCCATTCGCCGTTATAGTTTTAAAAGTTGCTAGATGCCCTGACGTGAATTATGTGCTAAATATATTTTGCCATCCTAGAAGTTGCTGGAATCACATACCTCAGTCATACGCCAAACCATCACATCTGTGTCGTGTCTTTACCGTGGTACACATGCTAGACAAGGATCGCCGTGAAAGGCGTATTGTTTTGAAACTCCAACCTACGGGTCCTCGTTAAATGATGTGTTTGACCGGCATAAGTAATTGTGACGCGTGTTCTTCACGTTCGGATGATCTACCGTAATTCATTCTACCAATGGTTGTATGCACCCTTTTCATATAACACTAGCATATAAAGTCTCCAAAGGACTCTTTTTCGGCTTTCTTCACTTCATGACGATTAAAAGTATTGGCATGCGCATCCTAAAAGTGTGCCATAGTTACGAGGCATTACATGATATGATTATCGTATCAAAGTCAACTGCCAAAATGCCGTTATCGGTGGTATGATAACTGGGCATTCTCTACTGCCTTTGTGTCGATCGCAAGTAGCCGAGCTTCAATGGGTAAGAATCCGGCAGACCGTGCGCATCTGTTATGACCTAAAGTCGCTCACCCATCAGCGCGGTAAACACTGGTTACTGGTGAGCTGTAGATCCAGAGTGAGACGATACCGTATCATACGTTTGTTATACGTTCCTACTTTTTTTGCGTACTGGCAGTACCTTTGAGAATATGCTGCACACCAATCTACAGATCACCTTGTCGCTTGTAACCTGGTATTGTGATTCTCACTTTGCAACTAAATGTAATATATATGTAACATAAATACGTACTTTATGTTCTTGAAACAAACCGATCTTGACAAGAAAATATAACCAAGTCTTCTCGTCCATGTCGTATCGTTTCCTGGCATTAAATGTGCATAGAAGATCAGGGAAAACTTCAGATAACTTAAGCTGGATTGAAAACTAGCTGCACTACTCTGGCTCCCGTGAACGATTCTTGCAGAAAAACGCCTTTAAGTTCAGAGCAAAAATGAGCATTACCACACATAAAGGCGGACGCTTACAGTCTTCAAGACCGCCGTTTGCAAACGACTCCTTGAGCCAAACAAAGTCCTGTAACTGAAGGACAGCTCAGAATCAAAAGATGCTATTCTCCTCGACTTTCTGTCAAATCTTTCAAGCTAAAGAACGAATGCCGACAAATTAATTTTAGTTGCAGATTAGAATTCAAAACCTCTTTGGTTTCCTTCATAGTAAAAGCTGCCGGGTGGTACGTTCAGGACGCAAGCGTGATGGATAGAAAATATAAACAGACTGTTCACTTACGTGCCTGTCACAACCTAGAGTCCATCGACCGAAGTCTTTGAGAGTGAAGAAAGCCATGTCCAATCTGATCATCCACATAAGAAGACCACACCATGAGTAACTGCAGTGCGTCGTAAACTTCTCCCGATTTGAATGAACTACCTAGATTTAAACTATGCTGTTTACAAAGCTCGTGGCAAGATCAATGATCTGACTTTCGGAACACAAAATTGTGAAGTTGTGCATCAAAAGATTAGGCAGCAGGCTGTTTTGAATTGAAAGCATGTCAAATTATTGGCATAAAATTATGTTAACAAGATCCGTGCCAACTGTTCCTTCTACCTATTTTGCACATGCACAAACCCGTTTACAGATGACTATATCCTCTTTCGAGCTTCTTTCTCAAACTTTTTAGGCAGGATATTGTCACGACTTGGTTAAAAGACCATGGATTCAGGAGGATTATGGCTGGTCGAATGCCTCAGCCCCTGGAGTATGCCTCAGACAGGCACTGCTCCGACGTATTTGTGTTCAACAAGATGGATGTCAGCAATCTGCTCGACTCAGAGATTGTCCAACAAAGGAACTTGGTGCTCCAGGTGAGCATGCCTCATTGCTATCCTGTTTTGTTGAGGTTAAAATAGCCTTTTCAAATAACTTTGGTAGGAACACATTTAAGACCATGACTTCAACCAAAAATGCATCGAGTTTTGAGTGACCGAGGTTTTGGGGCGAGGTGGCTCAGTGGTTAGAGCGTGAATTTACTGACCGGGTCCGTGGTTAAACCCGACCTATGTCTCTCGACATCCACTGTCTAGGCTTGGGCAACCTGGCAGTATCCTAGCCCTCGTGGGTGGTGTGACAGGTAAGCACCAAAGGGGTGTTGCATTCATTCATTCATTCATCATCATCATTCATTTCGGTGATGAAAGCGACATGTGCGATCACACTCCTTAGGTTGCACTGGCCAGATCGCTGTCTAGTATGTCAGGCGATTGAATTCTTCGAAGATCCACATGCGGGGTGGAAAACAACCACAAAAGGTTAAGCAATTACTTGGAAGTGAAGTTGGAATATCATCACCAAGAAACTGGTAATTAGCGAGTATACACTCAAACTCACGCAAACTCATTTGGTTTTTTTCGAGAGACTCACCTGGAACCCAGCTGAATCTCTCGTTTGTGATGTCCTCAGGCAACTGAATGTGCTGTACCAGACCACCTCATGTTTCAGTCGCTACGATATTCGAGATATCGCGATACATGTATATCTTTGTAATGTACTACTCATAAGGTTGCTGAAAATCCCTCGACTGGTAATGGCCGTCTCTCCTGATGAGAACCTCCAGATGGAACAGATCAATTAATAGATATCCTGACAAACGTAGACCACTCCAGCGCGCATCCAAGCTGTTGTTTTAAATGCATACCTTCCCCTCCATTGCCACTCTTAAAATAACACGTCAACGAATAAGCTACTGCCTTCAATGCGTAGCTATCCACCCTTTTATTCTGAGATCAATAGGCACGAAAGTAACGACCGTACAGCACGTGCGCCATTTACAGCTGATGCTGATGACATCAGGGATGTTGTCACTGCTGCTAGCGATGATGATGCGGTTGATATTCTGAGCGAGGAATGTTGTATGCTTGATTTGATTTTGTGTTTGTCGCTGCCACTGCATCTGAACAAAAGTGTCAAGCTACTCGCAGTGCGCTCGTTAGCTGTTGTACACGCTTGTCTCAAACAAATCCAAGCGTAACTGTAGTCGGGACCGTCATCAGCTCATTGAACATTCCATATGGAATTTCAGACTTGATTCGTGTTCACGCACTCTACTTTCAATATAATGCGATCCACACGAAAGAAGTTTATTCCACATTTCTCCATAGAATGGGTGCGTACATGCCATTTGTCATATTTTTACCTCACCAGGACAAAAGCAGTTGCCTTGGAGTTCACTGCTGTCTGGCCAATGTTACCGGAGGCGAAGAGGTCCTATTTGTCAACTGCATCAATGTCTTCTCCCCGGTTCACATGGAAGGACTTATCGGAAACAAGTTCCCGCTCATACAACCTGTTCCACAAGTTCGTGTAATCCGGCAAATGAAAGAAGATGAAGATTCCCGATTAACCCTGAAAATGGGCTCAAAAGGTAGATGCCTATACCCTAGTAGTGTATTTCCGCGTAACTCCAATTTCAGGACGAACGATATCTTCAACCAAATATGTCGCACAGAGACTGTCTCGTGTTTCTTTCGGCATAATATTTAAGATACCAAAGTAAAGCAGTGCGTTGTGCCAGGAAAACACACCAAATGTTGTACCAACTGGAACATAAAGTAGTCATTCCGCAGCAAATTCATTTGGAGAATTACACAAGTGGGAGTTTCCGTGGGAATTCAATAGCGTCACTCGTTAACATCAACTTAAACTACCGATTGCTTACCAAACCCTTCTGAAACCAACCTAAACTGTTCATTTGTTATTTTCCTCAATCGCTTGTACATTCTAGATATGACCGCAAGATTAGATGTTCGGACAATCTTCAAGCTTTCAAAGAAGTTCTCATCAAAAGCAACACCAAACATGGTATCGAAGTTAGTTCATATTGCAGAGAATACAGTAAGCACAATATTCTTGGGTTAAATCGTTGGAAAGTTCTGTCGAAAGTAAGCTGCCACCAACTGTCCTGTTCTGCAGGACGGCAAAAATGTATTTTGGAAGAACAATTCGAGTTAGATTGCATCCAATATTACATCATACTTTAGCATCGAGCTGACACTAATTTTCCTGAGGATTCTGACGAATCCAATGTTATTTTAATCTCTCCCTTTGCTCGCTGTCATTATCGGTCGAGTTGATTCTGGATGTAATGATCACTGAGTCCTCCAACCAGAAAGCTGTCTTGTCCTGGATGTGATGGGTCTGTACTAAATGGCTAAGTCTAGTTCGTGAGTATTGTCTCTGTTGGCCGTAAAAAACAAGTTTCTCTCCATTCCTGTGAATGAATTTTAATTGTACTGATCATACGACGTCGTTGTATGTTCCGCAGCCTCCGTCTCAAACACATTGATTTCGGTAGGGAACACCGGCCACTTATAAGGACTAGCTCTGTTTAACCTCCATCGTTGAAGTAGTTGGCAACTCTAAAAGACTCTTTCTTGTTGAGGCTGTGTCGTATTCTCTGTAAGTCAAATTTTACTGTTACTGGCATTGCAGAGTCTAGTGACGTTCATTTTTAACCGTGGCCAGTGTGTATTAGTCCGTGGACTGCAGTAGCTTGTGCAGCTTGTGGAGACTGAGAAATACGCACCATCTGTTGGGTTTTCTGTACTGTGTTGATGCACATCGATGTGGACAGTGAGTATTCAGGTCTGTGCGTCACGACATTCTGAATAACTGGCTATGTGGAAGTTGAGCGCAGGGAAGCTATAGTAGAAATCTCCGGAAACTGTTGAGCATGAAGATGAGTGGTCAGTTCGCCTTTAATTATAGTGTGGACAGGATTACCAAGTTTTCGTTGCAGAACGAAAGTACCAGAGTTACCCAGCACGTTTACTAGTGCGAATGTGAAACACAATGAGTTCATCACTGTTTATATTATTTTGGGATGTCACACGCTCCCCAAGAATTACCGTGTGTTTCTGATACTGGATCGGCATTACTCACCTCAAATCAGGTCAAGTTAAGTTCTTGATTGAAACTTCGTTTGCTGTCTGCAGGGATTCGCTGCAATTATCGGAGACTTCCTCCATAGAATGGGACGGATACATGCATATCTTATGAAGTCTTACCGGTAGCGTCAGTACTCCAGCTTACTGTATAGCCGTTATATCGTCCCGCTTACTGGAAACCTTGACAATCGCTGTAGTACACTTATTCAAACGATCAGAGGTGTTCCGAGTACACTCTCGTTTAATGTACTTATCGTATTCAGGTGGTTTGTCGACTAGTAATGAGTTTATGGTTTTCTATTTTTCTTTCTTTCTAATTCTTCACATTCGTTCAGTTATCAGAGCATCAACTGAGGAATTTTTATCCGTCGAACCTAACAGCGAAAAACAAAAATCGATCCGCCATATCTATATTGAGAGCAGTGACAGCCGTTCCGCTGTAGTCAATCCAGTGGGGTTCCTGGAAGTTGAAGCCGACGGTGAGTAGATACATAACTTGGCTTTACACGTGCATTCAAGTACTGCTGGAATTCTTGCAAAACCATTTGTCAAAACGAGTGTGCTGTAAAAGACTAATTTCATCCTTTCGTGCAAGTTCCATGATATGAGAAGGCAGTATGAAGACCCACTTAACTCCAAAAGCATTAGTCTCTTCTCAGTAGGCACAAATTAACCTTACTCACTCAAGCTCTTTATTCGTGTGTGGACTTCCAGCTTCATTAACTGAACGTCCTATTCCCTTAAGTATACGGAACTACTTTTATTGTGTAGGCCGATGTAGAAACTGATGATGTAAGTATATAGTGACAACGTTCAGTTGGAACACCCTTTCTGAGCATACCTGCTGTGTCACGCGAAAGAAGCATGAATGCTGAGATACTACCTTCCCTAGCCTAGACAGGAGCATTCGAGGTAAAGATGTTGGACTTGAACCAACATCCTGGTCAGTAAGTTCGTGCCTTAACCACTGAACTATCTCGAATCCCCATACTGGTGAAGTGGACGTAAGTCAAAATATTATGGGATTCCTAGAGCGGTACCAACAAATGAAATCCGATTCACGACGGCCAGTGATCAAACTGGATGTCGAACACAGCTTTTATTGCTCACTTCGAATTTCTTCGCCTAAAATGACGAGAATTAATTTCGCTGACGTGATTGTTTATTCTCAGTTGAGGAATGGTTTTATGAAGTTCGCTGTGGCGTTACCCTTCGCTGCCTAACTTCGATTCAGCGCTTTCTTCCCTCAAAAAATCGAATTTCACAGTATGCTCTGATAGACATTTAAGTTGCGCTAAAAATGCGAACAAAGTGATGGTACTAACAGACCGGAATTTTTCTGCCCATCCGACTGCGCATGGAACAAAGGAAGGATAACATTTTCCGCCTTCTTTGCGAACGAAAACGTGCCACGTACAAGGACTTAGATAGACGGGTGTATGATATTGGATTTTCAAAAGCAGACTTGTCCAAATCAAAGTCATCAGGTACATTGCATGGTATCTGAACTCCAGTCGTCAAAAACGCACTTCACGAGCTTAACTGTTACTACCGGTTTCAGGAGCGACATCAGCAATCCGTGATAAATATTCATTGCTATCCACAACGCTTTCCCAACTTAACCGCAAACATGCTGTAGCCAGATTGGGCAGTGCTATTCGGCTTCGTTGATGTATGCCTTCAGTCGTTTACATCTGACCAGGATCCGCTAGGAGGGACGCCAACACGCCAAGGCGGAAGAAATAGTATGATTGCTGGTAATCTGAGGAGACCGGATTTTACAATGAACACTTCGCCCTATAAGTGGGGCGATCTATGCTAAAATGTCTAGGAGTGCTTGACAGCTGTCTCATCCACATTGGGAATCGTCAGCAGTGTTCATCTCAGGAAACTGCGGGGGTCCCCAACCCGCGACCTCCCGGCAATTAGTTTGAACACTTGACTGTTCGGTCACGAGCAGCTGATTAGCGATCTTTTAGGTTGCACCTAGACGGGGTATGGCGCCACTTATTAGTTTGAACGACTGTTCGGTCACGAGCAGCTGATTAGCGATCTTTTAGGTTGCACCTAGACGGGGTATGGCGCCACTTATTTACTGGTCAGGGAATGTGAGTTGTTTTACTGCATTGGTCATCCTTGATGGGCAACGAAATCAGTGAAGTTACCGATGATAAGCATCAACTCGGATGCACATATGGAGTACATTTTCATGTTTTTTGGACCTCAGACAGTTGTAAAATCAGCCACCCTAGCGGTTGCTACAACTAATGTTGCCATGGCTAAGATCAATCTCATTTAAGTAAATTATCCCAGTAGTATTGAAAAACGTTCAAATCTGAAAATAAGGTTTTGGAATCCAAAGACCCTCGTGTGGGGTTAAGACAAACCAAAGAGTGTCTAACCTGTAGCATACAACCAAAGACTTGTGTGCCAGTCAGTCTCTGATATGGGAAGCCGAGTCAGCTAAGTGGCAAATAGTCCTAGATCAATGAAAATGGCTGTGAGCTAAGTTAGTTACTATTGATAAGGTTAACGCTCCAGAAAATGACGTCCTCACTAGGTAAAGATATCACAAGGCTTTTTCTATCAACCTGACTATATGCAAAAAGAACTAATGGGCTAAGTACATTAGACAGGGTGAGAAGTGACGAATACATACATAAGTAAACCTCTATAATGGGTATCTGTAAATTTTACCCTGGTTTCTTTGGTAGGCCCAAAAAGCAAGAAGGCGCAAAATCCAGTCCATCGCTGAAATACCATGAATCATTTCTTTTTCAACAGATCTGAGCATCCTGAGGGATATGTGGACACCTTCAGGGAACCCTTCCAGGGAAAGTCGACGCATGGAGATGATTAGTAAATCATCGTCGCTCCTAAGGCACGCTTTGAAATGTGAGTGCGCATGTTGGTTTTTCATGCTGGTACCGATCTTAGTAAGGTATTCCGCATTGAGATGAAGTAGCGTGACTAGTCTGTTCTATACAATGGCAACACAAGATTATATACCGCTGCGCTCATTGATGTGAGTGGAGATACCAGATGTCATTTCGGTATGTTCTTGCGCAATATACCCAAAAAATGTAAGCTCTTTGTGATCACACAGATTTCTGAGCAATGGAAGTGGTAAGTACCTAGCCGTAGCCGTCTAGAAAATCAGAACACCGGCAAAAACTGGATGCGTTCATTAATATCTCTGAACCACTAAAATGCACTTAGGACTACCAACGTTATGCTGTACGCTAGTGTGACGTTACACTTCGTCTGAAAATGCTTCCACTGCACATTATAGTTTCTGCTAGTACTGAACATCTGAATTTTAAGTCTTTACGGATCAAGTAAAAATGATTTGCGAATCATGTTCGATTGAGACCGTGAATTTACGGGGTAGGTGATGAATGCATACCTCAGCGCCTGATCTCCAATCTTATTTCAAATCCGGTCAGACCAAGTTACGTTGAGCAAGTGCTGGTGTGTGCGGAGAAAACGACGCAACTGATATGGGTCGATTTGACCTTCAGAAGCCGTAGTTATTCGCGGTTAGCAACTATAGTCTGTAGCTAAATAACAACATTAAGGCACTGAGTACTACTGGTGAGTGTGATGGTGATGATGCCCCCAACCACCAAGTACGTTACATTTATCATGAAATTTACCATAAGAATTTAAGCTTAACTACTCATCATCCATCCCTTCATTTTTAGTCGCTGGTGTTCGTACGGTTACCTTCCTCAGCCATTCACAGGATCCCGATGAAACAGATGGCTTAGTTGCAAAGGTAGTCGATGCAACCAACCGCTTATTGCTGAGAGAAGCTGAAGCTCTAGCGGCGTCAATGCGGAGTGCTCCCACGGGGACTGCGTTTAACCCGCATGTACCCACGTTTCCCGGGTTGCAAGAGGAACGGGACGCATACGAAGCTGGCAAACCAAGTATTATAACGAAAAATAAGACAATACGCGTTCCACCTTCACAGGAGACTAACGGCTTCTACATAGTGATTCTTCACAAGGAGGTAGGCATATGATATTGCCGATAGCTACTTCTAAACTAGGCTGACTGAAATCACTTATATTGTTGTAATGAAGAAAACCAACTGGAAGGTGTCTATTGACCGCAAGAACATAACCAGTTGCTCGTCGCTTGACTTGGCTGATTTGTCTAGCATCTCAGGAATCAGGCAGCCTCCTCTATACATGTTGCCTGTAGTTCAGCACCAACAAAGATTATTCCTGTACTGGTTCCTTGGATGACAACAATAAGGATGAACTGTACACCGAAGGTAAACTTTTCGCACCGTTATCCTAAAACGTAATCATCACGCTTTATAAACGTCTCGCGTCAAACTTATAGAAGGACCCCAGTTTTTATCGTACCCAATGGAATCTAAAAATTTTCGGTCAGCATGAATGGGCGCCGTCAGAAAACAAACAGTTTCACTTAATACCGTGTGGGTGAGATGGCACACAGATACAACGAAAATCAAGGAAAGGATTGGTAACCAGGTTATTTATCATCCCATCGAGAAGTGGCGGGATGACGTCCTCATGACAAGTCACCTCCAAACCTCCACCGAACGTGTTGGTACAGACGTCACATAAACAGTTGCTGAGTCTGTTTCGCCGTCAAAATTTCAGCCTGGTGCTATACCCATTGGACTGCATACGAAGTAATTCCATCAAAAAGGTCCAGAAGACTGAGGTGGTCCCAACTTTTTTCATTTAGGCTATTCTCTATTTGTCCTTCTAAAAGTTGGCGCGGGAAGTTTAGTGCTGCTGTACAGGTTTCACTGTGCAAGGCTCCAGATATTAGGCAAGAAATTCTACCTGATGAACCAGCGCAACACTTTGCCTTTATAGGAACCAACCTTGGGCAATACTCGTCTTTCTTTCTTTGAGAATCTATTTGGTTGGAATTTAAGTCAGAATAAAAGGAGGCCGTAATTCCTTTGCTTTCCAAAGACTAGTGCACTTTCACCATGTTTAAAGCCTCAATAGTATTAGATGAGCAACTATTGAACTATGCAAGAATATTAATGATTTTCCTAAGGTCAGGCGAACAATCGGTTGATCTGCGGTTCTAAAGCATGGCAGTTCCCTGTCGGAACTATCTCCCCACTTGGCGACCGAGCCTTCATTTCACTGTTTCTTGATATTTTTGGCTTCCACTCCGTGCCACAACTGAAGCGCATGCAGATAAAGCCGTTCGACCAATTTGCCCCACTTTACTCAGCTGTGCAAAAATGATCTTTTAGGAAAGAGACTAAGAGGTCCGTTGAGTAGCCATAAAAGGAATAAACCCAATGTCGAGGCATCACTCTACCTAGCGACCACTCATCGTGTCTTCAACAAGCGGAACTCAGTATTAGTGCACAGGTGATGATAGCCATAATTCAAATCAGAAGGTGAATGTGCACTAATAAAAGCTTTTAGTATTTCTGCGACACGTATAAAAATAAATACAATGTAAAATGGGAGCAAGTCAAAAAGGGAACTTATCGGATGCGAGAGTCCCTTGGTGGAAGTCAGAACGGCGGGGACGTGTTTTTCTCCGCAGTTCGACTGCTATACGTACTCCATGGTTGTCCGTGGACTTGTGGAGAGGTTGACGTCCTGCTCCCTGCGCGCGCGCGAGTCTGTGTCTGGACTGGGTTCGGTTTGCGTTTATGTAGGTCCCATTGCGTAAACGTGGGCGCGTCGTCACATGATTGGTCGCTACGCTGACTAGGCGGTGCAGACAATCGATGTCCGATGAGTCAGCTTAATGCGACGTGTTTGTGCGTATGAGAAAAAAAAGACAAGCCTCGCGATCCAGTGAACGGCTGAGTTGAACAGTCAAGTATGTGGGTGACTGGGTCGCTACGCTCAAACGGTTTTGTAACTGCTAGTAAGCGCAAACTTATAGATCAAACTGTCAACCATTTGTCACTGGTTGCTTCGCTTATATCCGAATGCTACGACATAAACCTACAGCGTTTCCGAAAATAGCTTATATTTGTATAGTTAGTTTGTTATCCTCGACGTATTTTCTGTGTGAGTTGTATCTAGAGAGAACGCTCGATTAACATGAAAAATCAGTAGCTGATGAAATCTTTTCCCTCATTGAGATGCATCTTAGGTAGAGTTTCATCTTAAGAAGGGAGAACTATGTTGAAGTTCAGACACGAGCTGTATAGGATTCTTTATTCGATACCTACCTAAATGGCCGAGGACGTGCTTAGCACAGAATTCCTCATCTACCGACATACAAGGCTACACTTGCTGAGGAATTAATGAAATCAGTGCTGCTTGGGGGTTTGGAAGATAGATGCACAAATGTAGTTAGATCTGGCTGGATCATTGTTTTTCGAGGTGCATTGAATACAGGTGGGTGGGATAACAAATAGGCAGTTCGGATTAGCAGAAACTTCGCCAGTGAAATATCTTTGCTTTCATTGACAGCAAATACTTTTGAAATCAGCGGACGAGCTACGACAGGAAGCTGATCAGGCCGGAAGAGGAGGTAAAGAAGCCAAAGGGAGAGGAAAAGGCAAGAGACGTAAGTTGATGCTCTCATTGAATTATTTTTTCGACAGCGAATGTCTCGCTTCCAACAAATATGGACCATGAGAAATCGATCTTGTGCACAATGATACTGATGCTGACGAGCATTGTGTATTTCTCACCCATAACCTGTAACTATCCGCTGAGATGAGTTCACTCAACTGATTCTTTCTGGTCAGCTAAATATCGGGGTTGATGTGGCTTGATATCGTCATACTCTTGAATTAAAATTTCCCCATGTCCCGGAAGACAAAATATAGTTCGAATGTTCAGAGAGTTATCGAAGCACTCCATAAGGTCGACTACTGGAATTTCCCTAGTTCTTCACAATAAACTGTACGTGACGAAAGCTACGAATTGTGAACTAAGAGGATGGAAGCACTCACCGACAGCAGGGTTTTGCTTCGGTAAGGATCAAGTTCTGGTAACTGTTTATGACGCAAGATCTCCTGTGTCAGATGAGATGTACTTAATTTATGCAACTTCGTTCAAATAGGGGATTCATCCGTGTTGTTTCGCGGGGCATCAGCAAATGATTGCCTTTTGTCCACCAAATCAACCAGAATGCTGGGTTCCGACTGATGTGGAGTGGAACAATATCTAAGCGAGGGATCCAGTCGTCTTCTATTGATATCCGAACCCCCCAAATTGTCTTGGATTACTATTGTTTCTCGTTCGTAACGTCTACAAATTTGAACTGCCGTTTTTGGTCCTTTACAACCTTGGTGTATTGTTGTTCAATAGCATCACACAAAAATGAGACATAGACTTCATTTTTTTCAGGTTGACGATATGTGAACAACTTATAGGTAAGACCACCTTCTGCTATTATGCAGGCAACGTCTTCAGACACCCTACATAGTGGCATAAAACTGCGTGGACAAAAATTACGGTACACCGTTTGAGGTGTGAATTGGGTGATTTAGTCTAGTTCCCAGTTTTCCGTCCTTTATTAAACGCTTCTTATTGTCGTCTGAGAGTGCTTTGTATCGCCTGCGAAGGGCAGTAGTTTGATCATTTGTGGTGAATTTTACCCCAACGGTTTTATCAGACAGAAATACACTTCAGAACTGAAAAATAAAGTAGATGACTATATTGAAGTCTCCTGGAAAGAAATTTAATCATACTGAATCGTCCTGAACGGAAAACACAGTATAAGATCTATACAAGTAATACCTACAGTCCAGAAAAGTTTCTTGTTCAGGATACTTTGTAGAAGTACGAAGTGTGAAAGTACACGGCCACTTGCCGCTTTTCAACGTTTAGGTTAATTGCTGATATAACAGCACTATTTGCATCGAAAAACATAAAACACAGAACTTCAGATATGTTTGAAAGTAGAAAGTGATAGTCAGTTTGAGCTCGAAATAAAAAAAGAAGTTCAGCCGAAAAGAGAATACCACGTGGGAGGTCTTCAATTAGGGAAGGATTTGGTGCTGAATCTTGACCAACTGGCAGTTTTTATCCTGACAGCTCATTACTTGGGAGGGCGCGTTGTGTCCATCCAGCTTTAAGGTGTGCGACCTAGGTAGTACACGCAAAGTCTCCTCACTACTCCAACGGATTTCTTAAGATCAACATCACTTTCCTTTATCCCCTAGATGAAGTCTACCCTACCGTTGACATTACTACAACTGTGAAACACGCCTTTCAAGTTTCCTTTGTTGATTCATGTGAGTTTTCACATCCGAAAGGATTGTAGTTCATTTCCAAAGGTTCCCATAATTACTGAACTTGTTTCCATATCATGAGAGCTCAGCTATTATGTTGTGGTGAAAGTAGTATTGAGTTCAGTAAAAAAAAACAAGAAATTCGGTGATAAAAATCCACATAGGGGACGCAATGACGCATCTGGTTGGATGCGTACCCACAGTAGTTGCGCCAGTCAGATTCTCCAAATGCCAAAATCATCCAACTTGGAGTCTGATAATTTGTGGTACTGTAAGGAAAGATAATGTCGCCTTGAGGTATAGTGAATATTGCTTGTCTTTTCGTACAGAAGCGTAACTGCAACGTTCCTCCCAATGGAGAAGTGCTCCAGCTGCATCGACAGATAGTCGCCTTAAGGATGTTGTTGATATCTCCTCTCAGTCAACGACAATCGGCAGTTATTGCCCATTTAACTGACTACTCATGAACGGCTCTATTTACGCCAGTCTATTATGATGCTTTTTGAGTCCCTGCTGCTCATTCCACGGGTCAGATTGCTCTCTGTTGCCTATCCGTCTTCACTTGCAATTTCGTATCCACTCAACCCATTTTCAAGTGTCTGTTTCTGGTACACGAACCGGGAGCCCCCCCGGTGGCGCCATTTCGACATCTGGGCGGTTCTGTTCTTTGTATCATCTTTGTATCGCATCTGCCCGATATCCTTAAACGGGCCTAAGAGAGCGTTCCAATTTGACAAGTGACACAAGATGCTGCGTCGCCCAGTCAGCTAAACACTGTAGGTACATTTAATTTGTGGCAAATGTACCCGCTATCCTTACCTCCCAAATGTACTGACTGTTCTCTGCACGGTTATCTCTCAATAAGGCCTATTTACACCGTCCGACTGCCCGTATCCGCACGTTTGTATACAACTTGTTATGGCTTTCAGAAAGCCATGCTGCCTCAGTGCCAATTTTTCTGTTCCTACCAACTGCGCTTTTATTGATTGTACGTTCTGCTTATTTCATGATGTTTATAAACCCATCTGATTACAGAACCAGTTCTCAATACAGCATCTACTGCCTTCCTCCACCTGTTACTACTGCTCACTGAATACAAACTGCGTATCGTCCGATAGCTTCAGTCTTGTAAGATCCCTAGCTGCCCGGATCTTAGAAATGTTTTTCTCTTTCTAGTATAATTCAGCGTATCATGTCAAGACTTCAATTAGATAACCGTCCGACGATGGATTATAATCTGCCATCCCGTTGGACTACCTCATCCTCATTTCACTGAACACATCTGACAGCCGTGGTCCTTCTGTACGAGAGAATCACACCAGGTTAGGCGGCATAGTCCTGACTCCCTGTCAAAACAGTAAATTTGATTTAATAGGTACAAACGCCTTCCACTTCCTTATCAAGTAAACCTGATTATGGAGATTGTTTTCTCAGGCCATTTACCATTGAACCGCGTCCCGTAAGAATAAAAACGAGTCGACAACAGCTGGTCAAGTCTGTGCTGGTAATGAACATCGCATTGTTTCATGTCCCAACACTTATCAACAGTTCTGGATTGTAGAAACTGGAATAGCTACCATTTTCCACACAATAATCTCCAGAAGACAGACCACCAAAGGAAAACTAAACACACTGACTCTCCAGAGACGGACTGCCAACCTCCAGAGGGAAGCGTACGCTAAATGGTGTCTGGTGGGAACAGTGTTTTGTGCCTCCTTTGGAGCATTCTGCGTCATCGCCAAAGCTGTTACTTTTAACTGTTCTGGTCTGACTGCTTACATAGTGCACCTAAAGTGTGCGAGGCGATAACAGTTGAATAGGGAGTCGAAGAGCTGGAAGGTTGGAAGCGCTGGTTCGGGTAACTAGTTCGGATCCGTTGCCGGAAATATGCTCTATTGCGATTGGAATGCAACGATTTGTCAGTTGCACACATCCGCTCCTCCGGCGCGGAACCATTTTGACTTTGGTTGGGAAGGGGTGAATAACGTATTCACAACCTTATTGGGATACCCGTTGTTTTAAACATCATCGCATGCAGCTGACCTCAATTCGGAGAGCGCTCGAGGGAATGAGGTTCGCGCGCGGGTCCTTCTGCAGATAGTAGAAACAAAATGCCTTTTGAACTCAACACGTCAAAGTGTGCGAGTCAACCGTTTTTTCCCGTTCTCAGTAGTGGATTTGATGAACGGCCGGCAGAACGCACCCACGCAATCCGCATGTTGTCAAGACAATCGTCAGGTTGGGGTCACCTCGCAATGCCAAATACTGTTACATACCGGCTAGTAGATTGACCCGGTCAATGAATTACGAATTCTGTTGTGCCAAACAAACCCACAAGGTTTTGGCAATTAGTGACTCCCGTAAATGCTTGTGTTGCCCCTCTGTTTTACATAACCTGCAGGTTTTACGTCCGCCACTGAGTAGAATCAACACATTGCAGCACATGTCTTCTACCAGTTCTAATGAGACCAATCATGTTCATTTCAGGTATGGAAATACCTTCGATAGCCAGCATTGAGCCTTCGAAGACAGTAATACACTGTGTTGTACGAGTTCAAAATGTATGTCTTACGGACCTGAATGGGATCCCGGCTTCTTATTTTACAACTTCAGTGGGATTCACGAGCCATATGACACAAGGCGAAGTACTCCTTTCTACTCGGTTGGGATGAGGCTGAGACCTACAGCAACATGGATATAGAGTTCACTAGACTCTTAAGCTTACCATTATCAGGTTCAAAATCCGTGCGTAGCAAAAAACTCAGTCTAATTCGTCACTATGCGAAACCGTCCGAGGACAGAAATGTGGTGTTCGGGCGGACATACACGAATAAATAATTTCGGGTACAGTCGGCAGAACCACATACCGACCTACAGGCGACCTGTTTCTCTCTGTTGGTTACTTCAGCAGTACACTTTAGCCTTCTCATAAGGACAGTGTTCATTCAACTGAATGTGTTGCATAAAGATTTCTGGACGTCTCCGTTGGTACGATATTTGAAACATCGCGGTGTATTGTCTAGAAACCGCAGTTGAGTCTCCAATTAACACCAATGTGATTTTGCGAATGAGTGTATTTCTTCAGTTGCGTAAATTTTGATGTTCATTTAGGGATTATGAAAACTCGTTGACTTCGTCTACGTCATGAGTACTAAAGATGAAACCGGTGTTGTGCAGTTCGAGAGCTTCCAACAGTCACATGGGTATTGTGTTATATCAGTTAAACTTGGTTATCACTTGATTCTGAAAATGAAGAACCTCTTTGAGTAGTGATAACCACCTGCTATCATTCTTGCCTATGAGTTCAGACGTTTCTTCGGCCTTTTCAAAGCTTGATTGGATTAAATTAGTCAAAAAGAACGAGAGCATATCCCTGACGTACTTGTGAGCACATTTCAAGTCAGGACCGATAAGCGACTTAAAGGTTCCCGTACAGGGATTTGAACCTGAGTCGTCGAAACGGAACACTACCCTGTTAACCAACTGACTACGTAAATTAGGTCATCTTCATGATAGTTCGGTCACTTCTGCGATGTGATTCAGCACGTGGAAACACATGTGGCGCCAACCACTGGCGATGGTTATTGTGCCAACCGATTTTGTCATCGTTCACAACCAAACGGCATCCTAAACGCAGATGCGAACCGGCCAACGCAAGTGACTCCTGGATGATCAACTTCCTGAATAAATTTGTTCGCTAATAAGTAAGTGAAATGCCGTGGTCATATTCGGAGAGGTACTCAGTACTAACACTAGATAACCGAACTCAAATGCTACACTAACTCAGGATAAATCACGTTATGCACGACAGCGAAGCTTTAAAGCTGCCTAACCTTTGTTCAATATCGGATATTGTTAGGTATGGATGGAGACCTTGCGGAATAATGTGTAAGCGAGATCTGTATAATTCTCCAACAAAGAGGTATCGCAAGAAAGTAGAAAAATCAGCCAAACCAAACAGGAGGCTGTGAAACTCTTAACTACACCAAACCCGACTCCTGACAACGTTCGCATCACAGCAACTATGCGCTAACAATTTTGTCTGCTCACTTCGTGAAAGCATCCAAATGGCACCGATTGATCTAGCATGATAGACCGGCTGCATGCATCTTTGACACACTGACACTTGTGTTGAGGGTAGCCTAGATAATTCGGTTTGGGGGATAAATGCCGGACAATGGGGAAAACAGAATTCATAACGAATGAGATGGACCAAGTGATTAAGGCGCGAATTTACCGACTGGAAGGTCCGTGGTTCGAACCCGACCTCTACATCTCGACTTTCCCTGTCTAGGCTTGGTGACCTGGCAGTGTCCCAGCCCTCGTGCCTCCGTGTGGCATGGCAGCTAGGCACTGAAAGGGTGCTAGTGCCATAAATATCTTTGTGGAAGGCGAGGTTGGCACTATAGGGCTAATCAGCACCAGGTGAGCACATTGTGATGCCGCTGCGATTAATTGGGCTATGAATGAACAACGTCCTCATAGGCACAAAATCAGAAACGAGTATGGTTTGAGACATGCGAATTATATCAGAACTCGGGTGAACTAGACTGAAGTATGTCAGGAATGTCAGCTCTTGTCCGTCGGTGTCTTGCCTTCTCCAGGTGCGACCTCCATATCTGGATAAACAGGGAAAGTTCTCTTAGAGGTTTGTGTCGAGCTACTCCGATTGAGTGAATTTGGCTCACTGCTTCCATGAATTAGTCCTTGACGAATCATTTCTTCGCGTTCCGCTTGGTACTTGACCTAAAACGAGAAGACAGGAGGGGGAAAGGCGTTTAAAACTGGGTCTCAACAGCAACGTAAAAGTAGGGAACTACCAATGTGCTAGCGTGATTGGAGTTCGTATGATACAAACGAAAGCAATACTGATTGCGGAATTCATCCTCTCTGTTCTGCTGGCTTAATCAGTCACAATCACCCTTCATTAGAAGAATCGATTGAATTGATCACAGAAGGTGAACAGAATGATGAATACAGTAACTGGAATGAATACATTTTTTGGGCAAATAGTGGAACACAGACTAGTATCAAGTTGATACAACGGACACCAGTAGCAAGCAACAATTAGTACGGGAAGCGTGAGCAAGAGTGGCCAAACAAAAATGATCCGCCCTGAGATTCGGGGATTTCTGATGGAATTTTCCTCCCATAGGTGGAGCTAATGTATGCTGAAAAGACGAGAAACACCGTATAATTCTTTCATCCTTATTCAGAATCATCATCATACCACGAAAATTCAGGGGTTTCCAACTCCTGACCTCCTGGCAAGTCATTCGGCCCCCAGCCGCCGATCAGCAATGTGACTCGCCACTTATCTATCAGTCATAGAGTATGAGCCGTTTTACTGCGTTGGTCATCCGTTTTCCGCACACAGCGCTTGATAGACAACGTCCGTGTGTAATAGCGTGGATATGTAGGTGATCCATCACGGTGCGGCACCTATCTCCATCCAACCTGAGTACGTCTACCTAACTTGGCAGAATTTTTTGCCCACATAAAAAATAAGTGCTGGTTTTACTGACCATCGCGTTCAAAACAAATAATTTAGATGTATGGTATTTTACTTTTAACCAGCTACGAAAGCGCTGCGCGGAAATTTCGGCAACACCGCAGGAGATATTACCGGTGCGCTGTAGGGTGAATGTTGCTGGCACTTCTATATTATAACTGGCTAACGGAGAATCTATTTGGCTCGTCCTTTAACAGACGAGGCCAGACAGCCAACCGTGTAAATGATTTTCACCCCACAACATACTACAAGTATCAAACGAATCAATCGGAATAAGGAGAACTACTGAAATAATGGCACAAGCATCGATTAAAGATCAGGTTACAGCGTGAAACATTAAACGAACCAGTTGTCGCCCGTCTCCATGGGCTCCCAACCAGCCGGTCGCATTAAAGATTTTAGATACTGTCGGGTGTCCAAGATCAATACGCCCTACCGATTGTACTTTCGGATGGTAAGAAACGTTTAAGTCAACTCAGAAGCTCGCTGAACAGGTCAGAAGCAGATGGCCTTACCTGAGCTACCAATATTCCTCAAAATCGCTACGTGCGTTGAAATACCATACGTAAACGAGGGATGTTTGTCTTCTAGCATAGGAAAACAAGTGGGTGCTTCGGGCACTAAGTAATTCAGGACATAAAATCCATAGGCAAATGTGTAGAAAGGCTTTTAATCACACCGTGTTTCAGTCAAATGGATCCCCAAAACAGTTGTTGAAACTAAGTACTTTGCGAGATTAATTGTTGAATTGCATGTCAGGGTGATAGTAAAGTTGGCAAATTTCGAGTCTTCGAACACTAAACACTGAGTATCTAAACTCTCGATATAAGGTCATGAACCAAATAGGTGACAAACGGTGTGCACCAAACATATCATGAACGAACTCGCCTCAAGCTTCGCAGCTTGAGAAATGCGACGCCGGGCTTCTGCGGCGTTGGATGCGATTTCTTCCTTGGTCGGTGGGTTCGCTCGTCGGTGTCTTAACCAAGATTCCCATTCGGTTGACATTGTCGGAAGTTCTGAAATTAGGACGTGAAAAATCTTCACGCTTCGCATACTCGACACCAGTCGTAGGATGTTTCTTAGCTTTTCAGCATCACGTACAGAATGAAATCTCAGGTGAAACTTTACTTGCTGTTGGTGTCGACTTCATCTATCACTTGTGAGCCCGAGTCTTGGCACAATAGGCCTAGTTTTCAGTTAATTAATCTATCTACATAATTTTGAATACACAAAAATTCCCACTACTGTTCCTCTGAACTACACCGTAAGTATTGCCTCCGGATGACCAGCGACGTGACTACTTATCCCTCAAATCTAACAGATTATATAAAGGTTGAATAAACAAACTAGAAAGAGATATGTCGGGGAACTGTTTACGAATGGAAGAAATGAACATGATGGAGAACCCGAAAGGAAGTCGATGGTTTGTATGTGTAAGCTCGAAATAGCTCAGTCGTTCGGACGCGAAAGTCCGTGGTTTGAATCCAACCTCAGCATCTCGACTACCTCTGTCCAGTCTTCGGAAACGTGACAGTAGTTCAGCACTCCTTCGAGTGGCACGGCAGCTATGCACCGAAATAGTGCTAAGTTTGAACGACTGTATGACTTTGTTTATGCATGTAAGCGTTCTTTTTCGCTATGTTGTACGTCGCTGAAGTCAGCGAAGCAACAGACAGGCTTTTCGCTCTTGCTGAGGTTGATCAGCACTGTGTTCGGTGGGACCCGAACTATGGAGTAGCGATCTAAGTATGATTACCATTCAAGCACCCAATCCAATAAGCCAGCAAGATAAAGCAACAGGACGGGTAGGAAGATATTAGCCTTGTGAAATCTAATAAAAAAGCTACTTCGAAACTCATGGTTGCGGCCTTGTAAATATTTGCACACACGCAAACCAACAGAAAGGAGCCGATCGTCAACGGTCTGACAGCATAGGAGTGAATATGTGATAATCTGCATCGAAGGGTTCTGGTTTCTAAAAACAAGACTTACCGAAACAATTAACGGAACGGATAGACCGTCGGACTGGACGTAGATTACGCTATACAGGTGGAATCTCAGGTGGGTTGTCAAGACCCGTTGGTCAATTAATGCTTAGGTAACGAAGGTGAATTGGAAAAAAGGGACATGGAATCATGGGAATGCTGGCTATCGACAATCCTTAGCTTACAAGTAGCTTACAAGTACTCTTATAGAAACACAACAATGAACGACTGAGAATCAGTTAGTCTGGTAACAAGTGGTAATAAGGGGACAGCCAAAGAGAATCCAAGTCCACGAATCTACTCAGATTGTCAACCCCACTCAACAAGTAGTTACAGCAAGGGTAATTTGAAATTTCCTCCACCAGCTTGTGTACTGTAATGCAACAAACCAGTTAGGTAGATAACTGAGATCCCAACTCACCACTGCTGAGCGTCATCCAGGCATCATCCAAGCTTTTTTGTCCGGGCATCAGCACATAACGTTGAGGGTATTTCGAGCGGATAGGGTGTTCACTACCCTTGTTGGGGAGGGCTTCGAAAAACCGGTTCCCGTAATCGTCTGTTCCCACAAGTCGAGGGCGTTTTCGATACCACGAAGAACGTAGGGTCAGATAAATCTGGCGTAAAATGGAGCCACGGACCTGAGTAGTTGTCACAAACGTCCTGTACAGGGATATGGAGACAAGGAATTGCGATTAACTAAGTTGACCGGGAGCTGAGGGGATCAAGAAAAACAGGTGGCTCTAACAGCGCTCTTTGATCAGCAGCTGATCTACCGAGTTGGTGGATCAACCCGACAAAATGCGTAGCCACCTGCCTCTACAACACCGCGGAATGTAGTTCTCATCGTGTACGCCTTGTACCGTTACGTGTTACACTTGAACAGAAATTAGAGGCGCTGTGAAAAAATAGTGGCTCCGATGAGGTCAAAAACTGACCAGATAAAAAGCCAATGAACCAGTCAGAATGATAGACAAACGATCCGACCAGGTGCAAGTGCCTAGTAAAATCTAGGTACTAAGATTGCCAAAAGCAAGAAAAGGAGGGATTGAAAAGTGGCACCATTTGGGAAGGGACAAGCCTGTACACGCCTACCGTTCTATCGTTAACCTGGACTCATAGCAGGATTGGACAGTAGAAATTGAAACCAGAAAATTCTACAGCGAAAACTCCCAGGAGTATAAAGGAAAGTTGCCGGTCGAAAGTTAAAACAACAAAACTTATACGGTATATGTCCTTGTAAACGGGGTTAATGAGGCGCGTTCATTGATACCCATTTCGCCATTCTGGTAAGCTTAACGTATGAACGTGTATGTATTTCACATTGGCTCGATGGCAAATAACAAACTGCCAATAAAACACACACATGGGGGCCAAAACTAATCTCACATGATCACGGGAAGCGGTGAAACACGAGTTCGCTTGACTCATCACAGCCAGGTATTAGTTAAACCTACAGTGAACACTGAATAAATGACGAGGCTTTCGACCGACTGAGACATTCACTGCTTCAGAGCCACGCACAAACAAACTACCGTTTCAGAAGCCGAATCACACATAACTGCAAAGCAAGTTAAATAAGTTCCAAATTAGACAGGCCTTCCAGACGAGCACAATCTATTTGCAACTAAGCCAAAGAAGTCACAAGCTTCTTCAGTATGTCAAGATCAGATATCGGCTTGCGTTGTTCACGAGTCACTATAACTCACGTTTTGTCAGATTTGTCAAAACCATTGTGACCAGCCAATCGAAACTTGTTTTGAAATCAGTAATTTCACATGAACCTCAAATGTACTGTATGTAATGACGTCAAGCCGGCTCGAATTTCACCGTCTCCCTTGGTTGATCAACCAACTTATTTCTACACGGTTGAAAGGATCTCGCGTCTCCTTTTATCCCACTGGTCGTTGG